ACCAGTCTTCAATGTATGATTCTTAGAGTCTGCTGAGAAGCCTGACTTCGAAATCTACACTAATTTACGTGCTTGATACCAACAGCCATTCAATCCATGAATTCACACCGTGTTTTGTTATGACTATCCCTACATCTTTTTTATCGTAGCCCATTTCACTGTGTATGCTCAGATAGTGCAACTCAGTCTTACAATATCACCTTACAACCGATAAGAGCAAAACACGTCATTATATTCAGATTTCTGTTCAGAAAACTCTGCATTTTGTCAGTGTCTTCAACTGAAAGAGCTGTCATCTGCGTACTGCATATCAATGAAACTATTACCTCACTACAAGGCAACCCCTAAGAAACAGAAGTCAATCAGTATCACCTCCATTAGTACATCTATAATGCAATTACATAAAAATGATGATGGTGGACATTTCTGATGGACGTCACTGTCTGCCATTAATTCAGAACACAACTCTCCATAAGCTGTAACACAGCTGCAAAGAGTCAAGCAGTGTCTTGATTTCCACTGTATACTTCCTCGGCAATTTCTCCAGAACTAGGCAACACTACGAAATCAGCTCTCAGTGGATTTCCATGAAAGACTCCAGATACTTAAAATATGTCAGTGCTTCAGAGCATGTCGGGGGCTGAAACCAGTTTACTTACCTGAGCCTATGGACTCTATCATTTTATATATCATATGGGTCTAACTGATACCCGATGATCATCACAAGGATATTTGCTTCCGTTCTTATAAACTGGAATGATTAAGTACCTGCACCAGTCTGGCAGCGCGACAAAAGCTGGTACCTTAGTTAACATACCCAACAGTTCACCACCACCATGTTTCAACACCTCTGGAATTAAATTATCAGATCCTGCTGTTATTGTAAGATTGGAAATACCTTTTGAAACCTCAGCTGAATTCGACGTTTATATTTCATTCATCTAAAGCCCCTGTAATGTAACGGCTGCAGAGTATTCTGACCGATATTTCCACCAACTCTCCTGAAAAGTTATTAAAGTTTCATCCTTTTGGGGATCGAATTTACTTACCGTAGACTTTTTAAAACCCATTGCCATAATAAGCTTAAGTAGTTGACGAGTACCCACCTGTTGCTGATCCCTATTCAATTTTGTTTGCTTCTATCACCCATCATTTTTCGCGGTCATTAAGTAAATTTCTAATCAGATTATGTTTGAGTAGTTTTCTCCCCTTCTTCCTCTTCGGAGCCTGTTGGGATCAATCACCTTACATCAGTTGACTAGCTAACATTTGCTAGTCAATTGTCTTTATTTCTATTTCTACAGTACACTGGATGTAACGGTATTTTATTCTGATACTCAGATAAATCTTCAGCCATCTCTTCCCTAAACACAAAAGTAAACATATGAAGAATCTTCATCTGCTTGTTTCCCACGTGCAACCCTTTAAAGGAATACAGCTACATAGGATTAAGCGTGATCGGAATTCACACTAGTGTTCTAGGAGAAGCGATACTCTGCCGAATCAATAATTTATACCTTATTGGCCAATTTGTGTCCTTTGTTTGGTTGTCACCAAGTAGCGATACCTTCCCTTATGTTTGAAGTTAATGCTAGTGTAAGAGACGATAACCGCCGTCATTTCATCAGGATGGACTTCACAAACATCTCTATTGTGTTCTTGATCGGTTCAGCTCCTTTAAATTAACGCAGAAATCACCTGCTAAAATGTCGATTTCTAAGTATTTTGCTTGTGACAGACTAGAGCATTTGAAACTAACCACATTCGGAGATTGCGAAAAGACATCCACAGGGATCACGATATTTCCTTATCCTTTGGAAGCCTTTTAAAGGGGAAGAATACATATGTCTACCCATTGGTGACCAGATGAGCAATAAGTTTTCTATTGAGTTTAGTGCTGTCTTTAGAGACTTTTCGAGAACGGGTAGGTGAATCTGTAAGATTCACCACGTTGGTCAGGTGGAGTTATGTGAATAACTACACTTGCATGTTGCCTCCCTATCTCAGATATGCAACCTACGTTTGAAGGCAGAGATACCAAGACAGTTTGTAAGGCCTACTGCACCTGATAAAGGAGAAGGATAAGTTTATCTCAACTACATATCACACGCTACACGTAACAGAGCTGAGGGTGGAGTGCTGTCGTACAGAACACCACCAAAGGGTAAGTAAGTGCACTTATTCAGATTTACCCTTAACCCCATTTAGCTTACTAGCTGTCCAAGGGAAACAGCTTACTGCCGTTGCACCGTCTTCTGTTAACAGAACAACATCACTCTTAGACTCCCACTGTCATGCAAACAATTCACATTATGCTGATAACTGTACTCAGCCAAGCAGCGACTCACATCCGAGTTTCCTGACATTGTAGGATTTCACACTGCATTTTGTTTTAACCGAAATAGGTTGCTATTCTTGCTTATATAAATCCGAATTCATGACACACCTCATTTCAAGAGAGGAAGGAAAATTAAAACTTATTGTAAAAATATAATGAATGAAAACAAATTCAACTTCTTAACATCTGTAAGGTATGATTTCTTAACACTGCATGCAGTAATGTCACTTACACGAAGATAAGTTGTCGAACAAACTGCCCTATCAAATTATCATTCCCTTGGTTTCCGAGTGAAACGTAGGGCTTCAACAACACATCTCCACTTTCTTCTATTCTCTGTCATCCTCTTCACCTGGCCCCCTGACTGCACATAATCTCTCACCTCCTCCTCATACGATCTACTCCATGTCACCCTATGATGACGAACTCATCGCTTCCCATTTGGATTCCACTCGAAGACCTAGCGCGCGATGTCATATGACGGTTTCCTCAATGTATGCCCTCGTCTAGTTAACTAGCTTGCTAGTTTTCTAGCCGGTTCCAAGCCCGGGTAACGAAGGAGGGTTGGGCGTGGGGCTAGCAACCCAACACCACAAAACCTGTCAAACTGTCAGAGACTTCAAAGTACAGAAAATATATTAAGAATACAAAAAATTCGAATAACAATCTCATTCTTTATTAGAATCAAAGAGGCGAAATGACACAGCAGGCTGGTAAAAGCTTTAGAGAAGCCAGTCAGCAAGTCAATGTACCTTTTCTCGACGAAATCAAGAATAAGAATGGGGACGTGTAGTTTCCGTGCAATGTACGAGACTGGGAAAACTGCGCAGGAAGTCAACGAAATGTGAGGATATAGGATATATATATTATATTGTATCCTTTAGTTCCTAGAGGAACATAGGGCTTCAGCTGCGCACCTCCATTGCCTTCGGTTTTCTGACAACTTTTTCACCCTGCTCCAGGTCTGTCCACATGCTTTCATCTCCTCCTCGCATGACCTCCTCCAAGTCATCTTGGACGACCAACTCGCCGCCTCCCTTTCGGGTTCCACTCGAGCGATGGCTTGTCTAGTGATGTCACTTGATGGTTTCCTCAATGTATGGCCAATCCATCTCCATTTCTTCCTGCCTATTTGTTTCACAATCGGTTCCTGGTTGGTTCGCTCATTGCCAGAGATCCCTGTTGCTGATCTTTTCTGGCCGGCCATCTGATCTTGAGTATTGAGTGAAGACAACTGTTAATGAAGGTCTGAAGTTTGTTTGAGATGCTCTTTATGACGCGCTGGCCAAGTCTGTGATCCGTATAGTAGCACTGACTGACTTCACATTGGAGCTGAAAATCCGGATCTTATTTTTGATGCTGAGTAGTGCTGTTGACCTCCACACAGATTTGAGAGTAATGAAAGCTTGTCTTGCTTTTCCGATTCTGGCTTTGATATCCTCGTCAGTTCCGCCTGTAGTTGAGACGATGCTTCCCAGGTAGGTGAAGGAGGTTGTTTCTTTCAGGTTCTTCCCACTTATGCTGATTGTTGTCTGTTGTTGTTGTTGCTGTTGATGTTGGCTAGGAATCTTCATCACCTCTGTTTTATCTATGTTCACTTGAAGTCCTATCTTTGATGCTTTTTCTGCCAACTTGTTACTTTTCACTTGCATATCTTCCAGTTTGTGGGAAATCAGACATATATCATCGGCGAAATCCAGATCCTCCAAGTCTTTTGTGTCAGTCCATTTTATGCCTGTTCCCTCGTTGGTTGCCGCTGTCTGTCGCATCATCCAATCAATTGCAATCAGGAAGATCATTGGTGATAGTAGACAGCCTTGCCTTACTCCCGTCCTCACTTCGAAGGCTTCCGTAAGTTTCCCGTTGTGGATTACTTGGCATGCAGCATTGTCGTATAACTGTTGGATGAGATGTATAGGATAGAAGTGCCTTATCAAATCTAAGGCCTTTTTTGAAAAGAATTAACAATTCCACAGATACTATTAATCTTGGGAAAATATAATGCAAATTAAACCTATACTGAAACAACTTTCAATGTGCAAACTGAATATATACACTGTAGAAGAAATAAAATATATCATTGCAAATAAACGCGCTACACCAATTTATACGGATCAGTCGATAGATGATAAAACCTGTCGTAACCATTAAATGAGGTACATAGTCATTCAACTAGGTAGACTGTCATGATTGTGAAGAAGGACGCCTCGATGCAAAGCAATTAATACAAAAAAAGTTGTGCTTCATGTGCTATGTAGTGAAGACTAACTAATGTTTTCAATCAAGTAAGGCTGCATGACCAACCTCAAAACCATTCAAACCAAGTGTCAGAATGGTTACGCAACTAATTTCTTAGTAGAAATAACTCTCCACGAAGCTATGTAACATAATCGTATTCAACACGATTTTGTATGGTTGAATACCTGAAAACATCTCTGACGAAAGGCGGAAATATAAAAAGTATTTTTGACGGTAATAAAAGGAAAAATAGAAAGATTATTTCTCTCGTACGTTAACATATCCATCCTCAAATATAGAGCATCAACAAAACATTGGTTACTTCGTTATGTAACACAACTCATGAAAAATTGAGCTACAATAGTATTGTCGACAGTCCTCAAACGGTGGTCAAGACATGAATTACAAGATTAACTAGGATGCATCAGTCAATTAAAGTTGACTGTTGAATATATTTGGCATATTTTCTCACGGCTTCTTCTTGTTCTTCATCAATTGATTTTGGCCTAAGACGACGCAATTCTCGAATAGCTTCACTCCCACTGAGATTATTTTTATAAGCAAGATAGCAAGCTAAGATTGTTCCTGCACGACCTCTCCCAAGTTGACAGTGAACACCAACTTTCTAAAATGCAATATTGTACGGTGATACAGGCGTTAATACAGAATGTGTAGTCTAACGAAAAAGAAACTTAAAATAAAGGCAGTACATTTGTACATACGTAAAAATTATGTTTATTAAATCTCGGCACACTGGGCCGAACTTCTTCAGGGAAATTAATCGGAATTAAAGTAACAAGAGTATATATATATATATATATATATATATATATATATATATATATATATATATATAATTTTTATATTTCAAGGTATTTAAAGCAGATACCTACATTTTAATTTCATGAAACACAATTGGCCAAACATTGATTCCTAAATTTAGTTCCACTGTAATCTGATAAGACATTAACCGTACATACAGCACTAGCACTTGCTATGCCGTAACAAAATTTAATTAACAAAATATACCCAATTGTTTAAATCGAGCCAGTTAACAGTTATTCGTTCGGTGGTAAGTGGTGGAGGCTAGAAAGCGTATTTCACCTTATTTGTGACGCTGGCTATGCAGCATCCTCACTCAAACTCGAACCCATCAACCATCGCCTGAGAGCACTACCTACTGGGTTGCTGAGTCATAAAAGCAACGTTTTCTGAAGCACATATTATTTAGACTGTTTCTTTGTTTACCAAACTATCCGTAGTCGATTTATATACACTGAAGTGATTTATTTCTGTTGCAGTACAGATAATGCTCTGATGTGAGTACTGCGTCTAAGTCTCAAAAAAGCACCACATGTCCCTAGCATTCAAATACATCTAGCTGTACCTGAAATTTCACTGCCAGTATTAACCAAATAACTCAAGCGAATATAACAGGACATCGTCCCAAACTAGGACGAAACAGCTGTCCAGTACTCCCAGGTTTTCCAATGGTTCTCTAACTAATGTCAGCTCATGATGAAATCCTGAAATCAATCAAATCCCTACAAACCAACACTTGAATACCAATAAGATGCTCACTGGCGACTGGCCCTATTCAGGTAGGTAGTTACCTGGGTTCCAGTGGGAAGTCGTGACCAGTAGGGTGCAGCTGGTCGGGTGTGAGGACAAATACTCGCCGAAGACATTGGCTAGCGGTCGCGCTATGTCGTGAATTGGCAGAAGTTAGAATTCAAGGACCATTGGATTGGGTCCCAGTGGCTTAATGGTATACGAGCTCGCCTTGTAACCGGAAGGTCCTGGGTACGAATCCCGGTGGGTGCGTACTGCTGAAGAGTCCCAAACTAGGACGAAACAGCTGTCCAGTACTCCCAGGTTTTCCAATGGTTCTCTAACTAATGTCAGCTCATGATGAAATCCTGAAATCAATCAAATCCCTACAAACCAACACTTGAATAACAGGACATCCATTTAAAGAAACCACACGCCAAGAGAAGTTAATCATTCTGGTTGGAATAAAGTAAAAACCGGAAATTACAAGTACAAACATAATCGAATTAGTATATTTAAGTACATAGAGTTGTACAGTTTTGATGAGATTTTATAACGATTGGAAAAAGATATTAGACAAGATTATCTAAGACCGTGTAAAAGTTTCTAATGGTGACTTTACTACCATGAACACAAAAAACAATGAGGCTAAAGGTATATGAATTACCATTCAGGTTTATTCATGACCAAAGGCCCAATATTTTGGGCTACATTTCAAAATTTCTTAATAAAAACACATTAATAACACTTTAGGTAGTCAGTGAAACTGTGGTTGAGTAGCTGCCATTCGAGTGGCTAAACTAGTGAACCACAAGTCTACCTGACAAAGCAATGATTTCTATATTTTATAAACAACATATCCGATGGTAAAATTTACCTCATTTTTCGCTTCAGCCTGTTTGATTATTTCCATAGCCTTCTGAATAATAGGCAAGCTTGCAGCAGATAGGTCTTCTACTGGCAGGTGATAATGTTTCACTGTTAAGAATAAAAACAGGTATTATATAACCAACCACGCCGTCAAGTCTAAACAGATAACATAACCATAAGAAATACCTTAAACTCATTTCTTCTAGATTTCTATTATAAAAAGTAATTGTCGTCGAGCATTTACTTATCGAATAACAATAACTTAGAGGATTGCGTAGGAATAAACTGTTAACATCTGATTTCGAAACTAAAATTTCGTCTCACTAATCTGATAAAGTTGTTAAATTTATTATTTTATACCAGTTACATTTTTTAAATTTTTAATGATTTCCACAGGTGATGACATTCACCGAAATAAACAAACTATGAAGTCAATCAAGTCCGCATACACGTAGGAACTGAGTTTGTCTGAGTACAATACAAACCATCTAGTGCGCAACAGCTGAACGACAACGGCATATGTCAAGCCGTCCACAACGGAAAACTCAGCGAGGCGTTTGGAGTAAACACAGGAGTCAGACAGGAGTGCCTATTATCACCAATGATAATCCTAATTGTGGTGGACTGGATTATGCGTCAGACAGTGGAAAACAAGAAGACAGGGATATCCTGGACCGACGTGAAGAAACCATAAGACCTGGATTTCGCGCGTGGATGATTTATGTTTAATGTCACACAATATCGAAGACTTACAAACGAAAACCAACAAACTGGTCGAAGAAGCAGTAAAGACAGGACTCCAAGTAAACAAAGACAAGACGGAGGTTATGGAAATAACCAACCAACCAACCAACAACAACATCCAGCGCCAGTCACCATCGACGGGAGGGATTTGAAAGAGGCTGCTTCATTCACTCACTTATCTAGGGAGCATTGTCTCAACTGCAGGCAGTCGAACGGACGAGGATGTCAAATCGAGCGAGAATCGGGAAGGCGAGCGAGAAACACATTCATCAACCTGAAACCAATCTGGAAATCTTCGTCACTCAGCCAGCATCAACAACAAAATTCGGTCGGATTTTCAATACAAACGTCAAGTCAGTCAGCTCTTCTATACGGATCAGAAACTTGGCGGGCGGGTCACAAAGAATATTTCCAAAAGCCTGTTGCAGACATTTATCAACAACTGTCCTCGCTGGATCTATACTGAAGATCAGATGGCCGGGCCGGAAAGAATCACCAACAAGAAACTATGGGAACAAACAAAACAAGAACAAACCAATCGCCCAACAAACATGCAGGAGAAAGTGCAGATGGATTGGACACTCGCTGAGGAGGCCGCCGCTGGGTGACATCGCGCGCGCGCCAGGCCATTTGTCGAGTGGAACCCGAAAGGGAAGCGGTGAGTGGGGCATCAGTGCAAGGATGACATGTAGGAGATCGTGTGAAGAGGAGTTGAACGAGTATGGACTAGCATGGATGCAGGTTAAAAGTACAGCAGAAGACAGAAGCAAGTGGAGACGTGCAGTTGAAGCCCTATGTTCCGCTAGGAACCCAAGGGAACAATATTGATAACAATAGAGTGCGCAACATATTTTGGAAGCTATTCCCTTCCCATAAATTATCGTAAATAATCCCCTTATTCCCACTTAATTATGACCCAACCGATAGCTGCTACTTTGATGTGGTGGTCGGGCTTGCATATCGCAATGACTCAACAAGCTAAACTGGTTGGAATTAACGTTCTTGCAGATTCTACCATGCCAGAAAGATTGTTAGGATAGCGATTAGACCAATAGCACTTACTGGCACAGTGTCAGAATATTTTTAACATTATGCTGGGGGTCTGTGGGTAAAGTCATAGTGCTGGGGGATAGGGATGTAACAGGTGTTTCCCTCAGATGACCAGCATACCACAGCTATGCTGTCTCTCCACTTTGAAGAGAGATTAGAAAAGGTCGACCCCGAAAACTGTATATCCCGACTTACCCTACGATGGTCCGTAGCCGGTGGTAAATTACTGATGCGGAACCAAACCAAAATGCTAGTTCAGATAGGCCATGTGTGGAACAGATTGACGTGTGGAACTTCGCCCAATGTGTGTCGAGATAAGTAGTGAATAAACTCAAAAGCCAATGAGTAAACGAACGGTTAAGGAACGCCAGTCCAGCCTGACCGACTAAATAGACGAAACTGGCCTTCAGGCACCTAATTCTTCCAATGACTTAAAGCATGCGGGATAATTTCAGAACGTTAATCATGAAGTACAACTACCAGGAAGAAGGCAACTGTAAAATGACCTCGAAACAACCGGTCAGATTCTTTCAGTTAAAAAGTGACATAATTAAAAAAACTATATTTTCCACGTATATGTAATAAAAATGAACTATACAGGATAAATGTCTCTAATATGCTGCAAAAACTGGTCCCAACTTCTCATAGAATAATATTAAAAGCTTTATTCCAAACAGTATTTGTGGTACAGGTATGAAATTTTTAGCGTGCATTACAATATATTGCATCTAATTACCTCATAAAGTTTATAAGATTTTAAAATCAAATAAATTAATTAATTAATAAAGGAAAAAATAAACCAAAGCCAAAAAATAAAGATAAATGAAAATCATAAAAAAACAGCTTAGGGTTTACATTTCAAACAATGCACCACAGGATATGACATATAAAGTTGATGTGTGATAGAAGATGAGAACAACAGTGTAATAGTAACGAGGAAAGGAAAACGAAAACCAATGGGACTATTTGTTAGAGTGCCGCAGTAAGTTGATCGTGTCATACCTAACGGATTTCGCATCACATAACAGCTGTGCCAGATATGGTATTGTGGAGCTTTCGTACTTGGTAGTCCTAGCATATAGCCTCCTATAGCTGCTTCTAGTTCTACCAGATGAAATGCAAGGAGACAGCTGCGTATAGAGAGGATGCTCGGGATCTGACAATATTGTATTCGCACGTTCTTACGTGACATTATATGTCTATCCCTAATATGTTAACCAGTTGGTTTAACGATATCCCACTTGACCTACTAACGGCTTTTAGTGCCCTTCTCAGCAAAGCAAAGTCTTTCTTAAGTAGTCCAGGAAAGATTAATGGGTAGCAGTAAAGAGGGATGGGTAGAATACAAAAATTGACAAACTGAGAAAGCAGACTGCTTTATACCAAACTGCCTTAACTTCCTTACGCATAACGTTGAGCAAAACATCTTTCTAGTAACTAGCAAGATGTGGGAGGACCAGGAAAGATCGAAGGAAATACTCAGTCCAAGGTCGACGGCAAGACTTCTCCTTAGGAAGCCTGGCACAGTATGCAGTTAGCTGTAGACATAACTGTGAGAGTTGTTAATAACCTAAAACCAAAAATTAGTAAGAGCCAGCAGATTTCTACTACCCTATCCAAAATGATTAACGCAAGAAGACTGATTCCGGAGACCTCCAAATTTGAAGAGGAGCGAAAACTGCCTAAACGCCAACTAACGAGAAGTCTTCGTAACGACCGTGAACAGTGGTGGGTGACAAAAGCGAAAGGGATGGAAAATGCATCGACGATTGGTAACACCAGAGAACTATTTAAACTTACCAGGGAAACAGGTGGTAAAAGGCAAATGATAAGTGAAACAATTTCTGAGGAAAATCGCACCATAATTAGCTCCCAGGATAGACGGCTGGAACGCTGGAAAGAACACTTTGAGCAGCAGTTTTATTGGCCTACAGCCACGCTCAACTTACCAAACATACAAAACCTCCCTGAACGGTACATAGAGAGACAGGTCCACCGTCCCTAACTGTGGTTACTAAGGCTGTAACTGGTCTGAAACGAGGCAAGGCAGAGGTATCTGATGGAATGACTCCAAAGGTGTTTAAGGATGGTGACGAGTTTACTGTTTGCGTTAACCAACATACTAGGCAGCGTTTGGAAATCAGAGGAAGTCCCATCGGGTTGGTGTAAGTTCATTGACTATCCCGATATACAAGAAGGGAGACAAGTCTTCGTGTGGCAATCACGAGGGATTAGCTTCACCAATATGGTATCTAAAGTTCTAGGGTCCACAATCATGCGCAGACCAAGCGGTGCTCGAGAGGAAGAAACACGAAAGAACTGGGCAGTCTTTAGAGGGTATGTCGACAGGTTCTGCAAAATAGAAATGCTTACCGGCGTCCAACAATCGTCATATTTCGATTCCGTCGACCGAAAGGTACTGTGGCGATGTTTAGCTGTGAAAGGAACGCCGAGGAAATACATCTTGCTGATCAAGGCACTATACTCTCAATCATGCAGCCAGGTGAGAGCCTACGAAGAGTTGTAACCGAAAGTGGTGACAATCAGTGGTGTCCACCGGGGATATCCACTGTTTCCCATTTCTGTTTAATTTCATCACAGATGTACTAATGGACTTGACCCTTACTAGCTTCAGTGACTAAGGGATAATAATAATAATAATGGCGACGGGGAAATCTATGGATTCTTCTAAATTCGAATTACTACTTGAACAACAAGTGAAATTAATGGAAATGTTCATTAGCAAACAGACTGGTTCAGTTTCACCTTCAAGCAATCCGAATCATTCCATGCTACCATCTGCCGACGGCATTGTGAATAGTATTTCACAATTCAATTATGATCCAGATGCTAATGTCACTTTTGACACATGGTATCAACGTTATGAGGATTTATTCACAGTTGATTTCGCCTCTCAAGACGATGCTTGGAAGGTGCGAGTGTTATTAAGTAAATTGGGTCCTGCAGAATATGAAAGGTACTGCAACCTAACTTTACCCCAAAAACCACGTGACAAGTGTTTCGATGATACAATAAAGCTGCTGCGTGAACATTTTGGAGACCACTCCTCATTATTCGTACATACGATATCGTTGCCTCAAGCTGACAATGAATGAAAATGATGATTTTCTTACTCATGTTGGCACAATGTTCAACCGAGAATGTGAGAGATTTCGACTCACGGCCTTAACAGATGACCACTTCAAAGCCTTGATCCTCATATGCAGTCTTCAATCTCTTCGTTTCACAGATATCCGAACTCGACTGCTCAATCAGAAGAAACAGTGTGCAAACATTGTTTAGAAGAGTTCAAACACATTGTAGCACACCAGAATTGAAAAGAATGGAAGAAGAATACTTACAAACGGTCTTCAAGAAGAATGGTTATCCAAAAAATTTCATCAAAAAGTGTTTAAAGTCGAATCAAAGCACCAACAAAGAACCATCACCAAAGACCAAAAAGAAATTCATCCTACCATACATCAGAAATATCTATGAAATAACGGCTAGAATAATGAAACCGTTTGATACAGATGTAGCACACAAACCAGCCGAATCGCTTAAATCGATCTTATGCAAACCAAAAGATCCGATAGAAAAAGCAGATAAAATTAACATCATTTACAAAATAAATTGTATGAAGTGTAACAAGCATTACACCGGCCAAAGTGGCCGTCCCCTTCGAATAAGAATCCAAGAACACAAGTCAGCCGTGAAAAGACATGATATAAATTCTTTAGTATCAATGCATAAAGATAATTATGGACATCAATTTGATTAAGATAATATCAAAATCTTAAACAGAGGAAACACCAAATGTGCCAGGGAATTCCTAGAAGCCTGGTACTCAAACGAAAATGCCATTAATAAACACGTTAATATAGATGAAATATATCAACTAATAAAAAGCAAATCAGATGACCAGAAAGTTTAAAATCCCAATCAATAGAAAACGGTCAATACCTATGTGAAGATGGTTGGTCACTGTATCATCATTCAAGGAGATTTTTAAATCATTTAACTTTATGCTAAATACTGCGTTGAAGATGCCGTCCAGAAAGACGACGAAAGCTCCGCAACTAAACCAACCAGCTCAGAGAACACTATTTATTGCGGATAATAATCTCGTTGACTTAGAATATCCAGATGATATAGTCCTGCCTCCTAGATAAAGACGTCGACAAAGTGCAGTCTTCTGATCACCTTGAGCAGCAGTCTGTGAATGTTTGGCATCAGATTCGCTCCCGTCAAATGTAAGCTGATGTTACAAGACTGGACCACATTGACTCCTACCTTAAAAATGGGGAGTGAACTGGTTGGCGGGGCGTGTTGACTACTTCACTTATTTGGGAAGCTCCATCAGCCAGTACCAGCGGGTCGATTGCTCACGAATTCTCAGCACGATATAAAAGGGTCGTTTGGGATTCCTCAGCCAACTTAAGTCATCTCTGGAATAGACGTGATATTCTGCTGTCGACCAAAAGGTATGTACTACTCAACAGTTCACGCCGTCCTCCTTTATGGCTGAGACATACCCAGTGAAAGTGAAAGACATGAAAAGACCAACTAGTTAGCTGTCTTCGATGACAGGTTTCCGCGTTCTTTCTCCCGTGTTACGTGGTATAATAAAGTGACCACTATTGAGGTTAGGCGTCGAGTGTTAGGTAAGGGGGGGATCAATCGAAGAGGTTGTGAAGATACACCGACTGATACGATTACGATATGTGCTACACATAACCAGTCATCATCTTCCTCGACCGACAGCTGACATGGGATCAGTTTGGAAAACATGATCTTATCAGTCAATGAAATCCACAACAGTTCGTTTAAGCCAGGCCAAGAAGTGTAGACTTGGTTGAGGTCCTCGGGAAGGTAAAGGCCAATCGCTGGAGGCAATCGGTGATATGGCTCAAAATCATTCTCAGTGGCGCAATAGCATCCACTCCTTGTGATTTATAATATCCAATAAAACTTTAATCTCTCACATTAATATTCTTGCCTTACATTTCTGTTTATTATCTCTGTTCTGAATCTCTTTCATCTCTTACTTTGTGTGCTACATGGAATGTGAAAACTAGAACTAATGTACATCTGCGCAAAGTTCCACGTTGAAACTAATCACCCAGTTAAATATGAATAGTCTGAGATCCTATTATGAACCTAACCAATAAGTTGACAAATGTGGTAAATAACATGAAATGAACCCAATCTACCAGAGAGAGAAGTGAAACTTAACTAGCTGCAGTTAGTCCTGAGGTGTTAAGTTAAACACTGGAATTAATCAACGTAGCTGTGAAATCCTGGTGTCCAAGGGATCATCTAGAAATATTAGCCGATACAAGACCATGGTCTTGTCAACGAGATATATCTCGTTGAGGACATTGAGGCGCCAAGAACCGATTGCTGGAGACCTCAGCTAAAAATCGTTCTCAATGGCGCATATGCGTTCACTTTTTATAGACGCTTATATCTTTCTGACTCTTTATTCGCTATACACGTGTTTTCTCCCGTATATTTTCGTTCGCTATAATAACTTCGCTTTTTTCTTTCTCTCTCCTTTGTGTGCTATATGATGTGGCGAATCGAATCTCTGCACTTCTGTGCAGTCTTGCGTCGAAAACGCATTTAGTTTGATGTGTAATACACATTTTACTAGAATCTTTAGAAAAATACATGATACAGCCGGGAATCATTCCCATTTACTTTCCTTTCCTTTATAATAATGCACGTCTTATTAATTTTACTCCAACCTGTGTATAAATTATAGAGCGAAAATCAGTAATTAGTCGTTTGACTCATAATTCCCCTCTGAGTCTTACAGGTCCACACAGCGCTTAACAGTTTGAGGTCAGGACTGTCACTATTATTATGCCATTGAGCACCAGGGAATCATAAACACTGGAGACAACAAAGCAACGCTTATAGCATAAAATAGTAAGTTTACAAAGTAGTCTTGCTATCGGATTGGAGGCAATCTGATATTACAGTGTTTTGTACTCAGTAAAAGCTTATGTACCAATTTACCTAGACTATTTGGTTCACTAAATGAACCACCGAAGATCGTGGGCATTACACATACCCATAACCTGAAACACTGAGCTTAGTGAGACAGAATTATCAATACATTGCACAGGGAATTGAAAGTGGACTTACCATTTAAATCAGATGGGAAACTGGGAGCCTCCTGGCACATAGTTATAACATGCGATATCCCAGCATCACGTACTAAGTATTTCATTTCAGATTCTTCGTGTGGAAATGCGAATCCTGCCACAGAACTTGACACCCATGAAAAATTATTTGGTGGACGAGACATACGTTGCAGCGAAGCGACGAAATAGTACCAGAACCCAGTTAAAGGAAGTGAACTGCAACACGAAGAAACATGTTAACATATTACGTTTATTTACACTACGTACGTCATTTCACTTCCCCGATTCCAGCGAAAAATAAGGTTACTGTTTATATTTTAAGAATTTTTAGTATATTGGTGCATTGGCGTTTCTGTAGAGGTTTGGTCGAGTTTTGGGGGTAGAGTTGCTAGCACCACGCCCCAAACCTCCCTCTTTATCGGCGCTTGATACCGGCTAGAAAACTAGCAAGCTAGTAGTCAAGGTGAGTGAAATGACGCAGGCTGCTGAAAGCCTTCGGGAAGCCAGTCAGCCGATTTGCCTTCTTTTGATGAAAGCAAAAATAAGGATGGAGACGTGGAGTGTTCGTACAATGTACAAAACTGGAAAGGCTGCCCAGGTAGCAGCAGAAATGAGGAGATATACAATAGAAGTGTTGGGAATCTGCGAGAACAAATGGAACGGATGTGGAAGGTGCCAACTACAAACTGGAGAGACAATAATCTTTTCCGGCCACCCAGAGGACAACCACGAGCACACCGAGGGAGTGGCCATCATAATGTCAACAACAGCAGCCAAAGCTCTCATGCAGTGGGAACCAGTCTCCCCCAGGATAATGACAGCCACGTTCAACTCAAAAGGAAGCAAGGTTACAATCATCCAATGCTATGCGCCCACAAACGTCTCAGAACAAGAGAAGAAAGAGGCGTTCTACAGACAACTACAAACAGTAATGCACAACGTCCCAAATGGCGATATCAGAATCCTGATGAGTGATATGAATGCGAAGCTGGGAGGAGACAACACAGGAAGAGAACTCGCCATAGGTCGTGAGGCTCTCAGTGAAATGAACAACAATGGTGAACTCTTCTCAGACTTCTGAGCCTTCAATGATTTGGTGATTGGTGGCAGTGTGTTCAAACACAAGGATATACACAAGACGACATGGATTTCACCAGATGGAAACACCAAGAACCAAATAGACTTCATTTCAATCTCAAGAAAGTGGAGACGGAGCCTACTAGACACAAGGTCGAGGAGAGGAGCAGATGTGGGTTCAGACCAATATCTAGTACAAGGGACTTTCAAGGTGAAGCTAAAAGCCTCGAGGATAGCTGGGGATAGGCCACAATGGAAGTTTATTTTTTATTTTTATTTTTGATTATAGCTTGATTCCACACCGTATTTTTGGTACAAGTATGGAATTTTCAGCGTGGATATCGGTAGCCCAAAATTCGCAGGCCGACCATAGATATCTGGTGTGCGTCGGCGTGGGCTCGAACCCCGGACCATGTGCATGGTCGGCGACAGTCCTAACCACTGTACCACCGACGCACAATACTCAAAAACTAAAGGACACAGCCACAAAGGATACTTTCACTGCAACTGTCAGAGCAAAGCAGGAAACACTACGTGACATCACTGAAGAATCATGCGTGGAAGAACATTGGAACTCTCTGAAGGTGATTTTCAACGAAACGTGTTCAACAGTTTTAGGAAGAAAGAAGAGACAGGACAAGGAATGGCTCTCAACGGACACTTGGAAGCTAATAGAGGAGAGGAGAATGGTGAAAGAGAAAATGATTCAATGCAAAGACGGACAAGAGAAGAAGACGCTGAGTTTAACTTACACAGCACTGGATAAAGAAGTGAGGAAGGGTGCTAGGAAAGAACAAAAGACGATTCTACGACAACCTGGCCACTGAAGCTGAGAAGGCAGCAGGCAAAAGGGACCTGAGGTCACTATATCAGGTAACCAAATCTCTATCCGGGGAGAGATCAACACAAGTGAAACCTATAAAAGACAGCCAAGGGAACCCAATTACCAAGGAAGAAAGGCAGATTAAACAATGGGCGGATCACTTCAAAGGACTCTTGAACTGACCACCACCTGCAACCCGTCCAGAAATACCAACAACAGCACATATACAACTGCACGTTGACACCAATCCCCCAACGAGAGCTGAAGTCTTGAATGCTTCTGAAAGCCGGAAAAGCAGCTCGATCAGATGGAATACCCCTGAAGCACTGAAAGCGGACTTGGAGACGACAGCATACATGCTGACTCCACTATTGCAAAAGGTCTGGAAGGGGGGGAAAGGTGCCTACTGACTGGAGGAAAGGTTACCTTGAGAAACTACCAAAGAAGGGCGAATTACACCTCACTCTGCAAGAACTGGCGAGGAATCATGCTCTTGTCGACGCCAAGTAAAATCCTGAGTCGAATCGTCCTGGATACAGAATTCCGACCAGAACAAGCTGGATTCAGGAAAGGCAAATCATGTTCTGACCAAATTGCAACTCTACGCATCATTATCGAACAAAGCATGGAATGGCAATCAAACCTCTGCCTCGACTTTATCGACTTTAAGAAGGCCTTCAACAGTGAAGTAATTTGGAAACCACTCGAGTACTACGGCGTACCCCAAATATTCATCAACCTTATTCAACAGCTAGCTGTACGATAACGGCACATGTCAAGTGATCCACAACAGGATGAATCTGCAAAATTCACCTTGAGGGGTTGTCAGGAGATGCCACAGCTATTTCACGAGGATTAGCTGGTGTAGAGATAGCTTTGAGTACTAGGGCAGAAAAGACATTACTTGACTGGATCCCGGTAGATAGCCGAGTGTATGCTGTCCGTCTGAACGGGTCAGTAAAAAGGAGAAAGGACTGCACTACTCGCCGATGCCTTTTCGTAATCTCCGCCTACGACCCCACTGACTGCAATTTGGATGAAACGAAGGATGAGTTCTACGAAAAGCTGTCTAGTTTGGTGGGAAAGGCTAAACGCTCAGATATGGTCGTTCTACCTAGTGACTTTAATGCTCAAGTAGGGAAATTGTGTCAATCTGAGAAGGTTATCGGTGGCACCTATGGAGTCCCGTGCCAGCGAACCGACAACGGTGACCGCCTCCCACAGTTCTGATCACGTAATCATTTGTTTCTTGTAAGCACTAACTTCAAACACAAGGAGAGACACTGTTTGACTTGGAGACCCCCTTCGTCAAACCAACGCTGGACACAAATAGACCACATAGCAATAAGCTACCGTTGGCATGGATCGGTAGGAGATTGTCGCTCCTTCTGGAACACGTGTGTAGATACCGACCACGCACTGGTCCGGGCTCGCGTGTGCTTACGACTGAACGGACGTAGGAAACAGCTGGCGGTAAAACCATCACGTCCCCAGCTCGATCAGGAAACTAAATCCCTATTCGAGGAAGAACTAGCTAAACGCATATCTGAGTTCGACAGCTGTGCTCACCCTGGAGAAGCCTGGAAGAATACTCAGTCAGCTATAGATACAGCTGTAAAAGCTGTGAATAAGGCAAATCCAAAGGTGAGTAAAATCCACTGGATATTCGACTGCCCCATCCGAAATGATAGATGCTAGAAGACTTATTCCGGCGAGCTCCGAATTCAATGAGGAGCGAAAGCTGCACAAAAGGAAACTTACTAAAAGTCTCCGCAAGGACCGTGAACAGTGGTGGGTGACAAAGGCAAAAGAGATGGAAAAAGCATCGACGATAGGCAACACTAGGCAACTCTTTAGACTCATCAGGGAAACGGGTGGGAGAAGGCAAATCATAAGTGAGACTATTTCTGAGAAAAATGGCTCCTTAATCAGCTCTCAGGACAGACGCCTGGAACGCTGGAAAGAACACTTTGAGGAACAATTTAACCTGCCTACTGTCTGCCTGTCTGGATTCAACATAGAACTTGGCACCGAAGTGCAGCAGTTCGAGTTGCCACCTTCCAAACAGCACACAGAGGTAGACAAGAAGATGAGTGAAGAGAATCAATACAGTCTGACAAGTATAAGAGTGAAACAGAATAGGTAATGGTAGAAAGGAATATGAAAGATTACAGAGACTGAATACATCTGCGCTGGCCATTGACAACGATTTTGAGCCATGTCACCTATTGTCTCCAGCCATTGATTCCTAGAGTCCCGAGGGCCCCAACCCGGGAGTCTGCATCTCCCTACCTGACTCAGTTTAACTGTCAAGGATTTCATGGATTGATGAGGCCACGTTTTTGTTTGGCCACCGCTTACTCTTTTCCAATCTGAACCTATATCAGCTAGCAATGCCCGTCGGGGGAGGCGGTGGTTAGGCATGCGCAGCACGTGACCTAGCCATCTTAGTCTATGTAACTTTATAGCCTCGTCGATTGATTTTCCCTCTTTGCCCAACACTCTACGCCTAACGTCAACATTACTTACCTTGTTAAACCACCTAACGTGAGACAGAGATCGCAGACATCTATGATCGAAAGCAGTCAACCTTTTCATGTCTTCAACGCGTATTGGCCATGTTTCAGAGCCATAGAGAAGGACGGAGCGAACTGATGAGCAGTACACACGTCCCTTGGTTGATAGCCGGATGTCACGCCTACGCCAGAGATGGTGTAAGTCAGCGAAAGCAGCTCGAGCTTTTCGGATCCGTGCTGAGATTTCATCGCCAATCAGTCCGTTGGTGCTAATACAACTTCCCAAGTAGGTGAAGTGGTCAACATGTTCTATCACTTCACTCCCTATCACTAAGTTAGGGGTTGACGTGGTCCAGTCCTGTAGCAGCATCTTACATTTTGCAGGGGCGAATCGCATGCCAAACATACGAAGATTGCTGCTCAAGGTGTTCAGAAGACTCTGCATTTTTTCAGCATCCTCCCCTAACAGGACTATGTCATCTGCATATTCTAAGTCCATAAGACTATTCCCTGGTAACAAGTCGATTCCTAAGTCACTACGTTCAGTTAAGGATACTTCCATCAGCATATCTATGATGAAGTTAAACAGAAATGGGGAAAGTGGACATCCCTGTCGGACACCACTGGTTGTTACCAATTCAGATGACAATTCCCCATAAGCCCTTACACGACTACGTGAGTTTGAATAGAGTGCCTTGATTAGTGCAATGTACTTTCTTGGCACTCCCTTCACAGTCAGACATTGCCATAGTACCTTTCGATCCACGGAGTCGAAGGCCGCCTTCAAGTCAAGAAATATGACAATTGTTGGACGCCGAAAAGTGTGTCTATGTTCTAGAATCTGTCGAAGAGTGAAGATATGATCTATGCACCCTCTACCTGGTCTAAAGCCTGCTTGATTTTCCCTTGTCTGTTCCTCCCGAGTTCTGCTTAGTCTATGCATGATTACTGAGCCTAGGATTTTAGAGACTATGTTCGTTAGGCTGATCCCCCTATGATTATCACACGAGGACTTGTTTCCCTTCTTGAATATCGGTATAATAAGTGACTTACCCCAGTCTGATGGCACTGTCTCTGATTCCCAGACTTTGCCTAGTACCTCAGTTAATCTACAAACTAGTATGTCACCCCCATATTTAAACACCTCCGGAATAATTCCGTCGGGTCCTGCCGCTTTGCCTCGTTTCAAATTACTGATAGCTTTTGTGACCTCACTTACAGACGGCGGACCAGTGTCTATATCCCATTCGGGTGGGTGCTGGATGTCGGGGAGGTTCAGTGTGGCTGTAGGCAAGTTAAATTGTCCCTCAAAGTGTTCTTTCCAGCGTTCAATGCGTCTATCCTGAGAGCTAATTAAGGAGCCTACAGCCACACTGAACCTCCCCGCCACCCAGCACACACCCGAATGGGATATAGACACAGGTCCTCCTTCCCTAACTGAGGTTTCTAAAGCTGTTACCAATCTGAAACTAGGCAAAGCAGCGGGACCTGATGGAATGACTCCAAAGGTATTTAAGTACGGCGGAGACAGTTTACTGTCTGCATTAACTGAGGTTCTAGGCAGCGTCTGATAATCAGAGGAAGTCCCATATAGTTGGTGTAAGTCACTGATTATCCCCATATACAAGAAGGGAGACAAGTCTTCCTGTGATAATCACAGAGGGATTAGCTTGACTAATACAGTATCTAAAGTCCTAGGCTCAATAAACATGCGTTGACTAAGTGGTGCTCGAGAGGCACAAACACGAGAAAGCCAGGCAGGCTTTAGACCAGGAAGAGGGTGTATTGATCATATCTTCACCCTCCGACAGATTCTAGAACATAAGCATTCTTACCGGCGCCCAACAATCACTATATTCCTTGACCTAAAGGCAGCATTCGACTCTGTCGACCGAGAGGTTCTCTGGAGATGCTTGGCTGTAAAGGGAATTTCGAGAAAATACATTGCACTGATTAAGGCACTCCACTCGTACTCATACAGCCAGGTGAGGGCTTACGGTGAGTTGTCATCTGAACTGGTGACGACTAGTGGTGTCCGTCAAGGATGCCCATTATCCCCTTTTCTATTCAACTTCATCATAGATGTACTAATGGACTTAACCCTAAGTGACTTCAGCGACTCAGGGGTTGACTTGCTACCAGGGAATAATCTCGTTGACTTGGAATATGCAGACGATGTAGTCATTCTAGGCGAAGACGCTGACAAAATGCAGTCTTCTGAACACCTTGAGCTGCAATCTACGAATGTTTGGCATGCGATTCGCTCCCGCCAAATGCAAGATGATGTTACAAGACTGGACTGCAGCGACTCCTAGATTAGAAATAGGGAGTGAAGTGGTAGAGCACGTTGACCGCTTCACTTATTTGAGAAGTACCATCAGCTAGTGCCAACGGGTTGATCTCTGACGAAATCTCAGCACGGACACAGAGAGCTAGTTTTGCATATGCCAGTTTACGCCGTCTCTGGCGTAGACGTGAAATCTGGCTGGCTATCGACCAAAGGGTGGGTGTAATGCTCATCAGTTCGCTCCGTCCCTCTTTATGACCAACTGTGAGACCTGGCCATTGAGAGTGGAAGACATGAAAAGATTAGCTGTCTTTGATCATAGGTGCCTGCGCTCTATTTGCCGTGTGAAGTGGCATAATAAGATGAGCGATATTGAGGTTAGGCGTCGAGTTCTAGGTAAGGAGGGGAAATCAATCGACGAAGTTGTGAAGCTACAAAGACTGAGATGGTTAGGATATGTGTTACGTATGCCTAGTCATCGCCTTCCTCGACGAGCTATGTTAGCGGATACAGGATCAGGCTGGAAATGAGCTAGTGGAGGTCAAAAAAAAACATGGCACCAGTCAATGAAATCTACAACAGTTAGTTTAAGCCATGTAGGAAGGTGTAGACTTCCTGGTTGGGGTCCTCGGGACGGTAAAAACCAATGGTAGGAAACAATTGGTGACATGGCTCAAAATCGTTCTCAGTGGCGCAGATGCATCCAATCCCTGTGACTTATGACTTCCAATGAGACTGCATTGTTCTTCGTTACTACTCCTTTGTCTCACACCTCTGTTTACTGTCTCTATTATGCCTTTCTTGGACTTTCTTCTCTTACTTTGTGTGCTACATGGAGTGTGGCGACTTGAACTGCCGCACACATGTGCAAAGTTTTATGTCGAAAACAGACAGACATACAACGGAAAACTCAGCGAGGCGTTTGGAGTAAACACAGGAGTCAGACAGGAGTGCCTATTATCACCAATGATATTCCTAATTGTGGTGGACTGGATTATGCGTCAGACAGTGGAAAACGAGAAGACAGGGATATCCTGGACTGACGTGAAGAAACTAGAAGACCTGGATTTCGCGCGTGGATGATTTATGTTTAATGTCACACAATATCGAAGACTTACAAACGAAAACCAACAAACTGGTCGAAGAAGCAGTAAAGACAGGACTCCAAGTAAACAAAGACAAGACGGAGGTTATGGAAATAACCAACCAACCAACAACAACAACATCCAGCGCCAGTCACCATCGACGGGAGGGATTTGAAAGAGGCTGCTTCATTCACTCTGTCTGTCTGTTTTCGACATAGAACTTTGCACAAATGTGCGGAAGTTCAAGTCGCCACATTCCGTGTAGCACGCGAAGCAAGAGAAGAAAGTACAAGAAAAGCATAATAGAAACCGTGAACAGAGGTGTGAGACAAAGAAGTAATAAAGAAATACAAAACAGTTTCATTGAAGATCATAAGTCACAGGGAGTGGATGCATCTGCGCCACTGAGAACGATTTTGAGCCATGTCACCAATTGTTTCCAACCATAGATTTTTACCGTCCCGAGGACCCCAGCCTGGAAGTCTACACCGTCCTACGTGGCTTAGACCAACTGTTGTGGATTTCATTGACTGATGCCAAGTTTTTGTTTGACCGCCGCTAGCTTTTTTCCAGCCTGACCCTATATCCGCTTCATTCACTCACTTATCTAGGGAGCATTGTCTCAACTGCAGGCAGTCGGAACGGACGAGGATGTCAAATCGAGCGAGAATCGGGAAGGCGAGCGAGAAACACATTCATCAACCTGAAACCAATCTTGAAGGAAATCTTCGTCACTCAGCCAGCATCAACAACAAAATTCGGTCGGATTTTCAATACAAACGTCAAGTCAGTCAGCTCTTCTATACGGATCAGAAACTTGGCGGGCGGGTCACAAAGAATATTTCCAAAAGCCTGTTGCAGACATTTATCAACAACTGTCCTCGCTGGATCTATACTGAAGATCAGATGGCCGGGCCGGAAAGAATCACCAACAAGAAACTATGGGAACAAACAAAACAAGAACAAACCAATCGCCCAACAAATATGCAGGAGAAAGTGCAGATGGATTGGACACTCGCTGAGGAGGCCGCCGCTGGGTGACATCGCGCGCGCGTCAGGCCATTGGTCGAGTGGAACCCGAAAGGGAAGCGGCGAGTGGGGCATCAGTGCAAGGATGACATGTAGGAGATCGTGTGAAGAGGAGTTGAACGAGTATGGACTAGCATGGATGCAGGTTAAAAGTACAGCAGAAGACAGAAGCAAGTGGAGACGTGCAGTTGAAGCCCTATGTTCCGCTAGGAACCCAAGGGTAGTGTAATAATAATACAATACGTACGTGGCAGTACTGCGCTAGTTTGGTTGGATTCGGAAACACACCATCTTTAACAAAATTTTAGTCGTTACAATTGTAACGACTTACTCAGATTATTTTTCTAGGATTAAGGATGTAACGTAGCAACAACTGCAGAACCCGCAACGGTAATGCAACTTTTCGAATTAAAAGGGCTTTATGGACCCAAAAGCACAAGAGCACAACTTTCAACCGATCAACAGCGATAAATCGGCATGTTTGGATGAACAGATATTACACCTGCTAAACAATGATGCAAATGCTCAATTTTATAAGAAAAACTTTGCGTTTAGCAGTCTCAATATTCTTTTGGGGAAGAGTAAAGAATAGACACCAAAGAAAAATGACCTCGAAACAACCAGTCAGTACAGCCTGTGGACGGCCGTAATTTTGAGTGCCCGCGAGTGAGATAATCAAGTGATTTACTAGGGCTGAAATTATCCGTACTTATCAAGGTCATTGGTGGAGTGAGACGCTCGAAGGTCATTTTCGTCCATGTCAGTCTGCCATGTTGGGTTGCAGTTCCGTAGCTCTTCAGATTTCAGATTTATTGGTTGAGGATAGAAGGCTTGCAGCCTATGTTAATCCTTTTCTAGTAGATTTCTGTGGTTGTCCAAACCCTTCTTGAACGAATCAGTTGAGGTTGCAGACACCACTTCTTCTGGGAGTCGGTTCCAAGAGTTTATGACTCGATGTGAGAACCAGTACTCAACAGCAATATGATTTCTCCTTGGCTTTTGAACTTTCCTGCTATGTCCTCTAAGGTGTTCCGACCTGGTGGGAAGGAAAAGAGAGAATAGGTCAGGTCCGTAGTCATTATTTAAAATTTTAAACATTGTGATTAAATCTCCTCTCTGCCTACGGTATGACAGTGAGAAGAGATTTAAACTATCTAGTCTTTCCTCGTATGATAAGTTAGCTATGCCGTGAACCATACGTGTTGCCTTCCTTTGAACACTTTCTAGAATGTGTGAATCCCCTTTTAGACACGGACTGGCGGCCTGGATGCAGTTTTCCAGTCTTGACCTAACCAGAGATGTGTATAAGGAGGTGAACATATCTCTGGTAATTCTTGTAAAGGCTCTGCGAATCGCCCATAAGGACCTGAAACTACGTGCAGCCACCGCGCGACAGTGTGCTGTAGTTTTTAAGTCGTGGCTAACTATGACACCTAAGTCCAAGTGAGTCTGAACTGATGGAAGTGTTATTCCCTCTAGTTCGTAGGGGCTTGTGCTTGCTTGTCCAATGCGCATGGTTGCACATTTTGCCACATTGATCGGGAGCATCCATTCAACAGACCACTCCGACAATTTGTTGAGGTCCTCTTGCAACGTGGACGTATCACTGTTGCCCTTCAGCTCTCTCCAAATTTTTAAGTCATCTGCGTATAGGACCATAGGGGAGTCGGTGAGCAGAGGTAACTCATTGATATACAGAATAAAAAGGAGAGGACCGAGAACCGTGCCTTGTGGCACTCCGCTACTTACTGCTGTCCAGGAGGAGAGTTTTGAGTTGATCCTAACCCTCTGCCTCCTATCTATGAGGAATTCCCTGAGCCAGTCTAGTAGTCTGCCTTTGATACCAAGACTTTCCAATTTCATGAGTAGTCTTTTGTGAGGTACTTTATCAAAGGCTTTACTGAAGTCTATGAAGACGACGTCAACGGGTCTTCTGTTGTCCTTTGATTTGACCCAGCTTTCTCTTGCAGTCAGGAGATTTGACAGGCATGAGAGGTTCCTCCGGAAGCCATGCTGTGCTCCAGATAACAAGCTGCTATTTTCCAGATAAGCCATGATGCTTTTCTTGATAATTCTTTCCAGTGTCTTGATTAAAGTGCTGGTGAGACTGATAGGCCTGTAATTTGAAGGGCTTTGTCTTGATCCTCCTTTGTGTATGGGGGTTACTATGGCGTCTTTCCAATCACGTGGCAACACTCCATTTAGGAGAGATAGCTTGAAGATCGTGGTCAAGGGGCCGGCTATGTGGGCTGATAGCTCCTTGAGAAGCCTTGGATGAAGATTGTCAGGACCCATTGATTTCCCTGCATCTAGTTTCATTAAGAAGTTGAGCACGATGCCTTGGTCGATGTCAACGGAATCTATCCCATGTTCTTCTGATGCAGCCAGAGCTGATCCTATAGGCAGTGATGACTCCTGAGTGAAGACTTGGGAGAAGTAGTTTGCCATTGCTTCTGCTTTTTCTTGATCTTCTTCGATTGTATCTTTGTCAATAATCAGGTTTGGGACACCATTGGGTGTTTTATTCCTGAAATTTAAGTACGAGAAAATTTTCTTAGGTTGTGCCTTTGCATTTTGAGCCAGGTGTGTCTCGAACTTCATCCTTGATTGGCGGATTTCTGCGATAGCTTTATTTCTAGCAGTATTAAATAATTCTCTGGTCTCAGAAGTCTCAAGTGTTGCAAACAGGTTCCAACATTTGCGTTTACGTCTGAGTAACTTACGAATCTCCCGGTTTATCCAAGTGGGGGGAATGTTTCCGACCCTTTGGAACAGACCAAGGGATGAAAGGTACAGTTACTTGGGCGTAAAGTTGCCTAAATTGGTTCCATGCCTCTTCTATTTGGGACTCTGGGTTGATATATATATATATATATATATATATATATATATATATAGCTATATCTATTTCCTTATTTGTACACTTCATTTTAAATGTTTCTCTCACATTTACCAGTATTCAACTTATTTCTAAATTAACAAATCATATTATATATTCTATAAGTTCTCATAAGTGTACATATGTTCATGCCTGTAAAAATGGCTGGTTTCTGTTGCAGAAATGTACCAGTTTACTGAGTTGGCTGCTGAGACGATCGCACTTATGTCAGCTTTCCAAACGTTTGGTCGAGCTGGGGTTTTGGCCCTTGCTGCCGTTGCTGTGAACTTGAAAGTGAGCACAGCATGGTCACTTCTTCCTAACGGAGGAAGATGTTGTATGAGATCCACGTCCTCACCGTGAGAGAACACTAGGTCCAGAGTTGACGATGAGTGCTGTGAGTCATAGCGCGTGGGCTTAATGATATGTTGGACTAGGGCTAGCGATATACTAGATTCTAGCAGTTTATGATCAAAGGAGTTGACTGAAGATGGAGTTGTTAGGCTCGACCAGTCAACTGTTGGGGCGTTGAAGTCGCCGACTACGAGACTTCGACATTTTGAAGTCCAGGAGCCTAGCTTCTCTATTAGGAAGTCGTCTGCACTGCAGTCAGGACTGCGGTACACAGCAATGAGGTCAATGTCTTGGCCTATGCATTTAAGTCTGCAGCGTAGAAGTTCGCACGACTCACTTTCGTGGGCGAGTGCTTCGATACTACGCACGGTTAAGCCTTTCTTGAGGTAGATGACTACGCCACCCCCTTTGCGGTTTAGTCGGTCTACCCTGTGCACTTCGAAGTTTGGCAGGTTAACTTCGTTGTCAGTGACATCGGGTGTGAGCCATGTCTCTGTGATAATAATTACATCCGGGTTTCCGGTTTCTATCATGTTAGCCAGCTCAGTCCTTTTATTTAACAGGCTGCGGGCGTTTGTGTAGCAGACTGTTAATTCAGATTGGTGCTTCCCCGGCCCACCCACAGAGGTTTCGGGATCATTAAACTGCGAACTCGGACAACCCGAAAACCCTTAATCTTAAGGTTCTTTTCACCGTTCCGGCGTCGCTCACTTAATTCTAGTGCCGCAGCCTGTCTTTTGACACGGTCTGCTAGGCTTAAGTCAGCGCGGACATATATCCCTGATCCTTTGAGAATATGAGAGTTGCTTAGAATAGCATCCCTCTCTGCTTTAGAGTTTAGTACGACTTTGAGGAGACGTACAGGTTCACTTACTGTAGGGTCAGGCTTTTGGCCTATTCTGTATACGCTGTGTATAGTAATGCCTGATACTGTTTGTGGCAGTAGCTTGTCTAAAAGGGGCTTGACCAAGTTAAGGTCATGCTCGAATCTGGCCTTAGGATCGAGGGCCAGTGACTCCTCCACTTTGTGGAGAATGAGAGACCTGTCAGAGAGATCGGGTTTGCTTTCCGTGACTTTCTTGCCCTGAGGCGTAAGTGTGTTTCTATCCTTCTTGGGCGGTGTAGCCGAAGTGTTATCCTTATCTCGCTTTTTGCGAGAGACTACAGTGCGCCATTCATTGGCGTCCTCCTCGCTAGTCGTAATGGGGTTTGTCTGTCTGCTGCTCACCGGTGTGGATGAGGCTTGTTCCGCCAGTCCCTGGGCGACTGGAGCTGCAGGTTTTCGACCCCTGGTACGCCTCTTCTTCGCGGCAGTCTTTCCATTACTGTCACTGAAGGGCTTATCCAGTATCGTGGGGGAGACCTGGGTGTCTGGAATGTAGTGGGTGTTCTTCTGTGCTGTAGAGCACTCACTTATTGGCAAGGTCGCATCGGGGACATGTGCTGTTTTGTCTATGACGCTAGTCACGTCATCGTTATCTGAGCAATAGTCGGTATTCTTCTGTGGTGGAGGACGCTTGCAGTCCATGAGCTTTAAAGCCCCACTGAGAGTAGTAATGGCTTCTGTAATACGGAGTTTAGTTGTACTACAGCAGTCATTGCACAACCAGTTTGCTAGAGGTTTGCAGCAGCGTTTGTATGCTGCTGGAGTAAGGTTCGTGCACATACTGTGAAACCATCTCTTGCAGTTATCACACTGCATTCCCTCATCCACTGGAAACTGGCACATAGCCCTTCCGCAGTGGTTTCTTTTGATAGGCATTTTATTTAAAACAAACCAGGAAAAATTAAATACAACTTCGAATGTATATATAACCTTTATACATCAGTGATAAAAGCTAATGAGTGCACAAAGATAGATATATGTAGCTATTATGTTATAAGAACACAACTTCCTATAAGTAATAGACTCAAATCTGAAACGCAAACTAACTACGATCAGAATAAACTGATTTAAAGTTAAATCTGTGGACGTTTGGAGCGTATAACACAACAAAAGCCAATTATAAACAAGAGCGTGAAAATTAACTCTCTTTTCAAAGTTCGCGCGTGCACGCGCGCTGTTCGTGTACGCGTTTGTTGTTCCGTTTATCCTGCCGTTATACACGGCTTATCTTGTTGCGTATTGTTCACAAATGTTGCGTTTCACCTCATTTTTTGTTTCCGTTGCTGTTAAAATGAATTATTTTTTGGTTTGGAAAGTTTTCACTACCAGGTCAGTGCGTTCATTTCGGTGTAATTGTTTCATACCTTGTATTTATGCGGCTTTCAGTGTTTTAGTTGGTTTTCAGCTGTTAATGAATTGGCAATGTGTAGAAGTTTTGGAAATCATGCACATGAAGATGTTTGGCTGGTAGAAGCAGTTGTTTCCAGTTCATTTGTTGGTTGCAGGTTTTGTTGCTGGCTCATTTGGTTATTTAACATGTAGAAATCTGGGAAACTAATGTCTTTCAAGTTTATGTCTACAGCATGCAACAATTTACCAGTAAATCTGGTGAAGAGGGCACGATCAAAGTTGATATTAGCAAGGTTTTCAAAGAACATAATCCTGGAGAATTTAGAACCTGGGTTGAAGTTGAAAAAGCTTTGAAGCTTTTTGAAAATGTGAATATACCATCAGTGTGTCTGCTATCACTTAAAAAAATGTATTGTGAGAGAATCTAAGTCAAATAAGGTTGAGCCGCATGAAAAGTATGAATCTGTTGTGCTTGTTTGTATTTTGGGGAACTAAAAGAAACTGGAATCCTTAAGAGTGTTACTTATGCTTATTATTGCTTGATGTACTAGATCCAAATACATGAACTAGGACTGCCCGTAATAGAGCCAGTGTTAACATCCATTCGATGGGTTGCAAAACGGTTTTCAAAGCGGATAAAATACGACGATCTGGTGAGTGTACGATCTATCCCAGTTAAAGGTAAGACATTAATTGGGAAGAATGACATTTCGGGTTGTAATCTACGATCGGTGATTTCCTCGAAGTTGTGATTTTTCCGTGGCTATAAACACTGATGTCCCTGGTCTTTAAAAAACTCGAAATAAATTTTCCTTGAACCAGTAGTCTTCTTTTCTTTGGCGAAACATCCATTGATACGATTATACGATTAGGTAGCGAAGTAGGATGTTCTGTGATTGAGAATCGTGGTTGTTGTGTTTCTGACTAACTTTGCGCATCTGACTGTTATAACCGCATGGATATAGCGTTTTCGTCATGGTACATTATGATATCTAGAAATCATAAGCAAGCTGCCATCGGTAAGTTTATTTTTACTTTTTAAATGACTGCAAATAGTGAGTCGTTTGAGGTGCTAGGATGAATACCTCTGAACGTTTTTGTGGAGACTAGGGTATATTTAACTTTTCGGAGTAGGAGGCGATCTTTTCACCACGAAAGTTCTCAGAATTTCCGCTTTTACTTCGTTATTCAAAGATAACGTTAAGTTGCACACTAAGGTAGTAGCTATAGGAGATTACATTCAGCGGAAGCCACTTTAAGGTAACTACGTAGCTTTAGGTAATGCGTCATAGAAATAAGCATCGTAGGTTAGTTGTGTCTGAATGTATTAAACGTTGTATAACTGATCAAACCATAGTTCTCACGTACGAGTTACTTTTATAAATAATGAGTGTATCGTACAAGCGTTTACCTTGATTTGCATACCTAGCTCATAAACATTATGCCTGCATGTGGTATACATTTAGGCCCAATACGCTGTGATGAATTAGTCCGAGATACTTAAAGTCAGACTTGATTTCCATATCACTGTTATCAATTTTGCAACGATCATAGGAATTAACACCTTCACCTAACCTTCGTTTACATGGGAAACTGAAAATAACAGTCTGACATTTCGAAGGATTCAGTTTAACAGCATTTTCTGACTCCTAATAGAGAGCTGTTCATCTTAGTACAGTGTAGCTGGCAGTTAACAGACATTGAAATAGTTAGATCGTCGGCGTGCTTCAAAAAGTTCTTTTCGTATGCTTTCGTGCATTAAGTTCGTCAAACAAAAATGCAATTGCTTGGAGGATTTAATCATGAGCTGACATCAGTTGCAATTGGTAATGGACGACTTCCCCCTGACCTACAGTGTACTGCTTTCTCCCTGACGGACGTAGGTCATTTGATCAGCCGATGGATATTGGCGTTATTTATTGGAAAAACGTCAAAGTCAGGTCATTTTCCGTTCTTTTTGGAATTGGGTCAAGGTCACTGATAAGCTCAATGTAAATTTCAGCCCTGACTCCGAATTGTGTGGCGATAACGGTGCGGTCAAGAAGTCTGTAGTTGCAACTGGTAAGCCATTGTTGAATAGAGTGTCACAGAATAGAGTTGCTGCTTCAGAGTCCAGTTCTGACCCTACAAGTTTACAAGGTATCAATAGTCAGAGTGAAGTTGTAAAACTTTTAAGGATTTGCGAGGAGGAACCAAAATTGTCTACTTCTCTTAATGAAGAGTTTGAAAATGATGAACTTGACAGTAAATTGAATATTTGTGGTAATGATCATGATAGTGCAGATTTGTCTTTGGTTGATCATGATGAGATGCTGGATATGCCTACTACTGCTAAGTTAAATAAAGGTTCTGTACAACTACAACGTGAAGTAGAATTGAACGCAGATGCAGTTCCAAAAGGTGTGCATACTTGTGAGACAGTCAGTGTAATTGATCAGCGTGTAGCCCACCTATCATCAGATGATAGTGCTAAACCCGAACTAGTAGTGAAAGATAGCAGTGGTGGTAATCTTGCAGTTGGACAACTATCTGAGAGCCGAAAAAGAACAGCTTCTGATCCACCGCTAAGTTCATCACCTTGTGTCACTCAGTCATCGTTGGTGTTGTCATCCACAATGAGAAGGACGCCCATCAGCTCAACTATCTTGTGCAATGACTATGCTTGTATCAGTTCGTTTGAAAGGACGAATATGAATGGTCAGTTTAGTGAGGATGAGCCAAGTGTAAACGAGAGAGTAATTGTTAAATTGACTTGCACGAATAAAGGCATTTCTAGTTTCAAGTTACTATTTGAATGCTGTTATCTTTGGTGTAAATTACTGTTTCTACGCTTGGTTGACCAGATACGTCGTATGTTTGTTCGTCATCTATATTCTACGATACAATGACATGGGCGTGTTGCCGTTCAGATTTGAGGATATAGCTGATAGGAGGTGGTCAGCAAATGAACTCTGCGACGATTTTCCAACCTAGAGCGTCAACCTGAGAAGGGTTGTAGGCGTACTGCTGTAAGTCCAATGTGCTTGGTGTGTGATTTTGTACATATGTTCATATTGTATATACTGAATTGGTATCATCTTTCATCTATCTGTTGGTAATTCTGTTTGTGTCCGGACGACTTCCACTTGGATCATCAACCTGAGAAGGAATATAGGCGTACTGCTGTAAGTCCTACAGTTCTTCAAGGGTAGTTCGTCAAGGCAGAATCCACCACTTTGATGTGTTGATTTAACATATGTTTGTGTTAAATAGTTGTGTGAGTTCCAATTATTGTAATTGTTGGTTAATCTTGTTTGTGTCCGTACATTCCACAAATTACAATCGTCAACCTGAGAAGGGTTGCAGGCGTACTGGTGTAAGTCCTGCGATTCTTCAAAGGAATTCCATCAAGACATGATCCGTGAGTTTGTGTGTACTGTTTGTATATATGTCTGGTGTGTCATATCAATTGGTGTTCTTTGGACTCACTGTGTTTACTCGTTGTTTTCGTACCTTGTTGTTATTACATAATTTTGTTAAAATTTTCGTCATGATTACTTCTGAAGTTGTGTCCACTCTTCTACATCCATGAATGAAGTGATCGATGTTAAGGACAGCAGATGGGTCGTATACTCTGGGGAGGCTATTTCTGAGAATGAAATGCATACGGGGATAATTGTTAGCTGTGGTCCGACACGCCGGGGAGAAAGAGTGTAAACGACTGAGGCTCGCATACGTCGTTACTAGAATTGAGGCAGAATGAGTGACAAGCGATTACGGTGGTAGTTGGTAGTGAGTGGATACGAGGACGTGCGTGGAGTATCATGAGGTGGTGCTTTGGTCACGTTGCATTCTGCAAGAGTCATTCTAGTAAGTGGCGATTGTGTTGCAAGAGGATGCCTTTAACTGGAAGGCGCAGGTCGTCATTGATGTGTGAGATTGTGCTGTGAGTATGCTTGTGGTGTGTTGGCTTTTCTGTTTGTTTTCCATTTCAGCTCTGTCCATGTGACCCAGGTTCTCGCAATGGCATCCAAGCCAACGTGTATTGATCGTGAAGAAAAAAAGGGATGGGTCCCTTTTTTCCCGGGGAGTGTCGATGCAGTTGAAGATTGAACGATCAATTCATGGTTGTTTGCTCAAAACCAACTTCCCCAACTTTCGCGGAGGCATCAATACGACAGTCATCGTCTCATCGGTCGCTGTTCAGAAAGAAGTCAGGAGACAACTGTCAGAAGTAATATTGTGATTTATTATTGTAATATTTGTTCACAGACCTTAGTTGTAACAGTGTTTATATGTTGGTGTTACAATGAAGAATCCTCGAGTCAACAATTGGTGTTTTGGTTTTGCGTCCGTTATTACTAAGCGTTTCTGAGAAACTTCAAGGATAAGCGTGAGCCCGAGCGTAGCAAGAGCTGGGCATTAACGGTTTACGAGACGTGGCTGACACATACCGTGTAGTGAACTAATGCATTAAGTGAAACAGGAAGGAAATTTAAACGAGTAATTCCCTTCTCCACTGCACTGTAGTTGCAATAACGGTGACAACCACCTACGTTTATTATCCTATCAGTCAGCTAAGTAGGCAATGGCACCATATTAATGCAGCTGAGATATTTTTGTACATCGAATTCAGATAACCCATAGTACACTGCACCAATCGGTGCCAATATATCCACTTAGAGATAACCTTTCAACTTACCATAATTCCTGTCCAACCACCGATAGGGTGTAAAGCACATCTAAATTTTATTTATTTATTTTTATTTTTGTTTACAGCTTGATTCCACACTGTATTTTTGGTACAAGTATGGAATTTTCAGCGTGGATATCGGTAGCCCAAATTTCGCAGGCCGACCATAGATATCGGCGTGGGCTCGAACCCCGGACCATATGCATGGTCGGCGACAGTCCTAACCACTGTGCCACCGACGCAACAGAGGATTCTGATAGCATTTACAGGTGATTTCCAAGTTCTGAGATAATGATTTTGTCAGAAAGACTGTTCTTCACATGAAAATAGGCTGTATTGATATCCTGAGACATGAAGTCTTCATTGAATCATACTATGCCGAAAGGTGCAGCTTCTACATGGAGTAAACGATTTGTGTATATAGCATTAGCCTACAACTATCCTATGTTCCTCATTTCACCGATATTTTGATACAGTCCGCCCGAAACACTAATCATTGCGACCAATATGCTATGAGTGTGTCGCAGTCAGATCACATGACGCGGACACCAAGATAACTAGCCAGAAAATGGGAACTATCACCAATTCAGATAACATATAACACAGTTTTATTAAAACTTGTTGACAAAAAAACTTTCCAAGCGAAATTTCAACAGAACGTGATAAATAAGTCCAGGCGCGTGAATCACTTGTTTATCTCACTCGCGGGACACGAAATTACGGCCGCCGACAGGCTGGGGATAGGATAGAGGCACAAATCAGCTGATTTCTGCAGTTTTAAGGCGTTATCGTGGCGCTGTGTTTGGGCTATTCTACGATGTTTTCAGTAGTTTTTTCGACAGAAATGGACTTTAAAAATCGCATTTTCACGAAAAATCGTGTAAAAAGGGAAAAAAGTTGTCTTTTTCAATGTGTTTACAAAATGCTCCCTTTTTTATGGAATTGACATGCTGAGGTGCATAAGAAATGTCAGAATTTGTTGGAAAATGTCAATTATGATATAACATGCAAAATAACTCCAATTGCTTCAGTGTATTTTACGTAAATGATTAGTAGAGAGTTAAATATCTAGGTAATTATGATTTCATTATGTTTACTAAATTTCACAGTAATAAAGGAAACTGAGTTGGTAATTTCGTCAGATAACGGTGAATAAACAGTCATTTAACTGGTAGGTACTGTGTTTCAAGTTATTTATTCAGCCCATCATTTCCTGACTGAATTTTGTCATTTTTAATTTCCAGGTTATGGTCTTCAATTCCGCAATCACGCAATACATTTAGACATTCTAATTGGGACTAAAAACAATAATATTTGTGTAATTGATGAAATATTTGTGATATTATGAATGTATTTGTCGAAATAAATATTTTTAAAAAAATTTTGCACCTTATTCGTACACTAATAATAGTTACTGTTTGTCGAGTTGCAAATTGATGCTAGTGTAGAAGACGTAATATTGGTAAAATGCCATATTTACATCTGGTTGAATGTATACACAATGGGGGTACTGTTATCGCTTTCGCTAGTAAACCTTAAACAGGCGATATGCACAACAAAAGCCTATCTAGTGCGTTACAGTATTTTATGATAACAAAGTAATCAATCAAATTTAGTGACGTGATCAACTAATGCACGAGTCTGAGTGTTAATGTGATCATGTAAGAGCCTATTGATACGAAATGATAACACAAGAAGAGTAATGTAGTTATCTGTTTATAACGCAATGATTTCCTTTGAGGTAGTATTGTTAAACGCAACATAAGAATAGCAGACTATTCGTGGTAAATAGGATATACGCTGCATAGTGCGCATGAAGTGCCTAGACTACTACTACAAGTCGTGTACGTATAGAACCCATATTTGCTAGGTTATGTTTCGTTATTACAGTGCGAAAACATGTTTGACGGCTACTTTCTTAAGAATCGCGAATACCAATATTATACGCAACTGAAACACTTTACGCAAGGCTTGATGATCCATTGAGGAAATAGTAATATTTTAAGACTGACGCATTTCACATAAGTATTAATACGTTACCTACCATATTCTCGTTAGCTCTGCAATGTCGTCAAAATGATAAGTGAAAGAGACAATGTTAGTCAACATAAATGCATATATTTGTAAGGAAACAATAATCAATCAAGTTAAAAATGACTCAGAATGAAAGAGTACATATCTACACTAAAGAGAGTTAATAGCAATCCAGTGAAAAAATCACGGTTGTAGAGTTTTTGTAGCTGCATCATAGTCATCATTAAGTCCACCAAACACTCTATCCACAACATTTGTATCCGTTTGCTTCCGTTGTTAGTGGTGTTGAACCAGTCTTTGCAGTTTTCGTCATCACCAGATCCGTTCGCAGAAACTAGATATGAACTTTTCAAGCAGAGATTGAGATTGTATTCCTTCGAATGCATTCAGCCATATTGAGAAAATTCTGAGGATATATACATATCAGGTAAATTAATCTTACCTCTGGTGAACAATTCCTAATCTTAGCCACACTGAATATGTGAACAAAGCAAGGAACAACCACAGAGTTGGTGAAATTCTATAGATTAGTCGTCCATATATTCCACGATATATTTCAGGAATTGTGTAACTTCCAAACCACCTGTCACATTTTCTCTTCTATAAAAAGGAAATATTATACACGTGACTCCTATCCATCCGTTACAATTAACCGAAAGAGATAAAATCCTCAAACTTTATACTTCTTCGATTAAGTTACTCAGTAATATTCTCCTTGTAAGTGGATCTAATGCTTCTCACATCTGTGAAATTTATAAGCATGTTAACTTGGTCCCTTAAGCTAGAAAATATAATGTCTATCCGCTTTTATTATTGCTATTTCAAAGCCCGCTTCAGTAACGTAAGGCACGTATTAGCCGCAACGTTTACGCAGAGGAAAATCTACCAATCACAGCGTGCATAAGTGACCTTCAAGTGCTCAACCTCTCCATAAGCTATTTGTGCCGCTATCCTATCTCGACAGGCTGTCAATCGTTTGCGGTGCTGCAACAGACTTCGTTGTGTCAGTTGGCATGACTGACTTAGATCTCTATAGTGAGATCGTTGTCGAAGACCATGAGAAGGAGTTCGAAAATCTTTCTCTTTCCAAAACGGTACTATAAAACATTTTAATATATCTTGCTAGCTTCTTAGACTTGTTTTGTAATACCATCCTATTTAACTACTAAACTTGATTTTGTAGCAAGTTTATGCAATAGACTTTCCCATGTTAAACCTATTTGGACTATGGTCCAAACAGCTTTTCTAGTATACTAGAATAATGTCCATGAATTTTGCTGGTTCGCACCTACTTGTTACATATTTTACGAGGTTACAGTGTTGGCGCATAGAAACAAACAAGTACTGAATGTCGTAGGTAATGTGTCGGCTAATGAGTACACCCGAAAACCCTATCGAAATTGAAATGCCTCACCCAAAATCTGGAAGTATGATTGACGGTTGTAGTCCCTGATTATTATATTTTTTTCACAATCTATTCTAATTACTGTGACTACGAATTAACTTTTTTCCCTTAAAGCCCGAACATACGTGTTCTCCCCATTATTCATTGTTGGAAGCTGAAGTGGAAGCTTTAAATGCTCAGGTTACTCGTCTAGAAAAAGAACGTTTGACACTACTCGCCACTAAAGACCAGGTAGCAAATAATTTCACACGACTAGGACTGGCCTGTCGACGAGAAATCAGAAAGTTAAAATCACAGATAAAATTGCTTTGTTCAAAGTAAGTACGTTCTTAAGGTAACACTTTTTTCACTCTTTTCGGTGTAGTTTGTTAGTGCTTATTCGCCCATCACTTATTTTAGTGGACTTTGATTTGCCTTATGATATATGTGTTTTTCAGCATCAACCTACCTATGTATTGCATCAGTTGATAGCGACTGAATATTTTGTCCATCACATATTTTATGGTTTTAGTTCCCGTTAATTTTTCAAATACAGTTTTTGCAATGTCGCATTCTACTTATCAGTTTACCTGAAGTACCAGTTTGTATCATAAGGTTTTGTTAAAGATATCTGCTTATCATCGGACATTATAAAATGAACTTGGTCGAAATTTGAGGTTAGCGATGCTATTGATATATGAACATTATTATTAAAGTTAGTGTATATTTGCGTAATGAATTGTCATGCACATTCTTCTGCTCATAATGCACCATGTCTAATGACAAAAGTTGCAGTTGAGTCACACTTTACTCTTACTATCTTAAGTGGATATATATTAGACCATATATGACTTTTGCAGCAATTTGTACATCAGTGATCTTTTGTACCTTGTTTAGTAAGGGAAAGTTTCCTATATCGCATGCATCTTGGTGTGAATTAATTGCCTATTCTTTTCTCCATGCACGTTACCAACCTGTGTGATGTAGTTTGCAACTGTTTGGTAATGTGGTAAACAACAGTGACCTACCCATTTTGCTTTGATGTTGCTACTTCCATTGTCTTAAGTTGTAGAAAACGAGTTCGTTGTGAACTAAAACCGTTTATTGACTAATTTATTCCTGTTCGTGGAGAATCCGTTCTGCATTTTAGTGTGGTCTAATTGTATGGTTGGAATTCTTAGGGGAATGGACGAAAACGATCTCAAAACGCTTATAACAAGCAGTACATCCAAGAGTATTTTTCAAGGGGGGTTGTTTATGCTACGATATTTCAACAGACGATACTCAATGTTGCTGTCTGGTTCGAGAGTTCCCACTATGATACCAATGACTACTCAATCTCCAAACAACATTCACTATCATGTCTCAAGTTTTGCATATGTAAGACTGTGGTGATAACGTCGAAATTTACTCTGATAAGTAGATGTTTTTCTAACAATTTTTATACTTTGGATCCTAAACGTCACCACCAATTTTCCTTCATGGTTATGTGCAGTCACAGGTTAGTGAGAATCTTTCCAAAGTGACTTATGCTCAGGCGTCCTGAAGTCTTGTTTGGTCGAAGCGAGTATACAAGGTAAATCAATAAGCCTACAGTGGTAAACCGTCTTCTGGTGGACTTTGTCTTTGATTGGACATGTTTTATTAGACATTTCTATTTACATTACTGTGAAGGTCTTTCTTTATATGAGTGATGACATAGTGAAGGGCAACTTTTAACTTTACACACAATTAAAAGCCGAACTGTATGTATTTTCTAAACACTTTCTAAAAAGAAGAGGGGAGAATATCTTAGCATATCGATTGTCGATTTACGTGTGAGCCATATATGATGCACTAAGAGATGCCAGTCGAACGCAATTACCTCTCTTTCCATGGCGTCATGTCATGGACTAATCGATTTGTCTAACCAGTCCGAGGGCTAGCAAACAGTAAGTGGCATGGGTCCTGTGTAGTGAGTTTGACAACCAAACCAACCCTAGGTACTCACGATGTCATGTATTAAGTGACGATCTTCACTATTTCTCAGCACACTCGAGGAGTGCTCACGTAGAACCGTGTTTCCGCTTGGTGTTACGATAGTATATCAGCCCACAAGTGCTGTATGGAACGACTATTAAGTGGGAAGCTCAAATAAAATTTACTCTAACAACTTACTGAAACCGTTTTTTCATGAATCATATGTTTGAAAATCCGTTCGGTTGTTGTTGTGGGAAAGTTATTTGAAACACTTAACTGAAGTCATGCATGTGAATAGACGGAGATGCTTTTTAAAATCCTAGTCAAACTTTCGTCTTTTCTAATTTGCATCAATCTACGAACGTTGTACGTAACGAACTTAAACCAGACAAGATGTTAGCATAGCTGACTAACTAATAGCCAGCTCTCTGAAACCAACTATTCAGCTACTCAAAACGGTACAGGTACCTCGAGACAACATATCGTTGGTAAAATGATGATGACAAATGTAGTAGTGGCGAAAGTCAAACAGGAGAGACTATAACTAAAACAGTAAAGTCGTAATGAAATGAGTGTTTGAATATGTGATTAGTGAAGTAGAGGTCGCTGCAAGTCTTGAGAGCGTGTCCCAGGGGACCTTTCTCCTCTCCTGAAAGTAATATACAGTAACAAACTGTTTTAAATGTTGGTGACAAGTATACTTACCAATTTTCATTCTGTTCTGCTAGGATTCCTATTTTTATTTCAATTTGCATTGTTTTATTATATTATGTGCCTACATTGTTCTAGGTTCTCATTTTAGTTTTTGAAAAATAGTAGTTTTAACATAGCCATACAAATATAAAAACTTATATTTTCAAGCGTCGGCAGGTATTTCAAAATTGATGCGTACTGTGCTCATGTTCCACAAACAGTCATTTCAACCGTACCCGTAATCATGGATATATAACTATCTCGCACGTACTTTACCCTTTTTTGCGTCTTTTAATTTCGCTTCCATGATTTTCATTGAACTGCTTTATTTTGGATGTCTTGATTTTGAAGTGGCTTAATGTTGTCTCAGATTCCAGTTTGTTTTGGTGGCTGAATCAAAAGTCCTGCTTAACTATGCTTAGTTTCTTCCGCACTACTCAAACCAACATTTTAGTTGGATGAAACACAGTGTTATACACAGGTGGAATTTTATTTTTGTGAACTTGAAGAATCTCTGTTCCAGGTGCTATCTAGATATGACATGATTGGTTTTGTAACTGGTAAGAATGTTTTTGACTTCAGTCGTTATGATAAATTATTTCGATTCTTCGGCATGCAAATTATGCATTTTTGCACAACTTCTGTGCTTAAGAGATTTTGAATGTCAAATGATTTAGTTGTCATTCAAAAACCAATAAGTCCCTTCGAATGAAGTTTTCAAAAGTTGATGTTAATATTTCTCTTTGAAATTCAATCAGTCATCAATTCTCAGTCATATACAGAATTAATAAACTTGTCAGTTATAATGATGTGTATGTAGGTGAACATCTTTGTTAGTTTATTTCATTTCGTGAGTCGTGTTTTTTTAACATTTCGTCTAAAAAATCCTGAATAAAAGCTTGTGTCGTTTTATTTGATTAAATTATGAGTTACATCATACTACATTTCAGTTTCTGAGATATAATTGGGTAGAGTAAGTTGAAACCATTTTTCTAATGACTATAAGTAACATAACACCAACCTATGAACCAAAGATATACGTGGTAAATTATTTCATACTACTTGATGAGCAACGTTAGCTGACATAGGGTTGGGTTGGAATAGATATAAGGGTGATCAAACCGAAACCTGTCACTAATCCATAAAGTCAGTTGGTTTGAGCCACGTAGAAAGGTGCACACTTCCTGATTGGGTTCCTGAGGATTCTACAAACTTACTGCTAAAGACTTAGTGATACATCTCGAAATCGTTCACAGTGGCGCGGATGCATTCACTCTTTTTTTTTTATCTTGGATGTGTATTAGATCATCACAACTTCCCACGTTTTGGTTCTTCTGTTCACTTCTGCTTATTTATAATTACTTTGAATCTTTTTCTTTGTCTACTATATAGAGTGTGGCAAATTAAACTGCTGCACTTCTGTACGGATTATAGTTTACCTGTGAGTTAATTTCGCTGATCATTTTCATAATTACTATCATATGACTTGATATATCCCTTTTACCACCATCTGCTAAGATAAAGGTTTGTGTAAGTGAATTACACCTCTCTAAACCAAACTAATTATATAGATAGTAATCAATAAATTTTAATGACTTTCACCTTGTATTTCGAAGCTTGTATTATGTTACATTCCAACTGTAGACATAAGATTCCAGAACCTGAAGATGTCAGTCAAACTAATTTAGCTCAAGATGTTCAGATAGACCCCGAGAAGCAAAATTTTTTCCCAGACATGGTAGCCTATCTGCACTCTGATCTTCCGCCTGTCAGTATCTATTCTACTAACTATGCACAACATGGAAGTCTTAGTGTCACCTCGAAATGTGACGTAACTACACAAACGGAACAATTTAGACGACATAATTCGCGATCATCTGTCTCTTCTTATGGATCACATTCATCACAATCAGTATCATCAAGCTCTTCATCTTCTACATCATCTTCAAGTTCTAGTAATCATGGTAAACATCATATAAGTACCGTTAATAATGGTTTCATACCTAACCTTACAGATCTGTCAAGTAATAACAGGTATTTACCACCCCATTCACGGCCAGCAGTTTCAGTCATTTCAAAGAAATTCGAAAGATGGACGTGTCATGAATCAATTGCTAGCGGAGCTCATGAAAAATCTTGCAAATTAAGCAAACGTGGACAAGATGTCGCTTGTTCTTCACAGTTACTTGTTGAAAAACGACTCCATGCTTTTGCGAGTAGGTCTCGAGGGATATCTGCAGTAAAGGATGATGTTGGAAAGCAGATACTTACCAGTAATGCACATAATCGTGAGTGTGCTAAACAGGTCTCCACTCAGGAAAAACAAAATGGCTATCTAAACAATCAGAAAATTTTGAATGGTTCTAGTAAAAATGTGCAGTCATTATCGAAAAGTCGAAAGCAGTCGTTTCATACAGGAAAGGAGTACTTGTCATCTCCAAGTAGAACCACTGATCAACCTTCTGCCACTCGGAACTCGTTCGTCAAAAGTCATCATGACCCCCAGATTGAACAATATGGTTCTCGTGGTTCAGCAGAATTTCTTTCAAATAAGCCGAACGATTCTTGTAAGTCTTCATTATCATTCTGATATATACATGTTTGTGAATTTAATGAAAACACAGTATAGGTACTGGTTTTTTTTGTTGATAATAATACATACTTGCCGTAATTTGTATGTTCACTGAATGCTATGAGTAGCTTCAGTGGACTAGATATAAAGATAGGGTCTTGTTAACAAAAGAAAACACTTTTATAGATCACTCCAGTTAGTCCAAACAGTAATATATGATTTCAGTGTATAAAACGCTCAGCAGTATCATTAGAGTGGAAATTATTCGGAAGTCAGTTTCCCAGACAAACTGACTAGTGAAACTTTTCCAGTGATCCAAATTCAAAGTAGTGGATTTAAATGAACGTCAAACTGATTTCCTTAAACTCCACTTGTGAGTGCAGTTCATGACTTTATCTTTCTGTGTTTGGTCACAGAGATCTGTTCTTTGGATGAACAGTACTAGTGAGTCATGTATACGTAGTCACAGGTGGTAATAAATAGGTATCATTTTTCATCACGCTCATATCATACTCTCAAAGGTATTCACATTAATATTCGGCATTTCAAATCAATAGCTGCTGCTGCGAGAAATGTGTCCCCTGCGTCTCTGCTTCTGTACTATGACTTCAGATGTCACGTAGCCTGAATGTATTTTGGTAATCAGAAACAATCAGTAACCATAGTGTATGTATGTAGACTATTTCCTATCTGTTTATTTCCACTGTTTTGGTTGCCAACAAAACTACTTCTATGCTGGTTAGACCGTCAACTTCAAACCCATCTAATTTTCACAACTTTCATTCCAAATTGTACTTTGCAATAAAGTGAGGAGTGGCAAGAACTTGTGTAAAATCTCATTAATGTACAAACCGAATCTAAGTACTGTTGAGTGAAATTGAAATCCTCGCTTTATCTGCCATTCAGCAACATTCTAACGTAGTCAGCCATTTTGTAAATGTTGTTAAAATAATAAATTCTAGGAGTAGTAAGTAATTTAAAGGGGAACTTTGACTGAATGAACAAAATGTATTTAGTAGTTCTTTTATATTGGTTTTAAGTGATGACTCATTTTTAGGTTAATTGGTTTGAAATCAGAAAATTAGTGCAGTTTTACCCCTGGTTACAAGTGTTGATACTGAAAACAACTCTAAGATAAATATGATATCACCAGTCGTAAGTATCATACATTTCCCTATTGACCACCACATCTAAAACTCTGGGAAAATACAGAATCTTTTAAAACTCCTTCAGCAGTAAGTCGACGTGCTAAGCAAGAGTCAAATCCTAGTTTAATTACACCACTTGAAGTGGTAAGATGTGCTAACTGTTTCACTCATTTCGTAAGCTTTATCAGCTTTCAATGAGTTTGCTGATGAAACATTCTCATGGAAAGAATAGATTTACTCAAGAACTTTCAACACGCGTCATCTTAATCACTAGTATGATGTCCTCAGTCTGTCATGGAGTAAGAACACTGCGTGTCAGTTTGTTCTGTCATAGTTCAGAAATGGTCACTGAAAGTATATATGAGAAATCATTGGCCAAAAATCAGAGCTGTGAACTTTTCTTATAATACGTATCTAGTCATATTCATATCTCTACCGCTATTAACACTCTTTTTTCCCTTTATATGTTTAAGCCATTCCGGCTTCATTGTAAAATGAATAAAGCCTAAATTCTTGGTTCATTCGTCTTTTCAAGATTCAAGCATCACTCATCGTTCTAAGACTCAATCACCTTCGTAACAATTTATTCATTTTACAATATTCATGGAACGATTTTTCCGACCTGATCGGTTCGACGTAGAACCTAACGCAGTTGGAGCTGCCAAGAAGTGGGATCACTGGTTTGCGACTTTTTCCTACTTCATTGAATCAATGGGATCCGAAAATCCTTCGAAACTACATATTCTCTTCAATCATATTTCTACTTCTGTATACGAATGCATTTCTGAATGCAAAACATACGAAGAAGCTATCGACACTCTCAAGAGTCTCTACATGCAGCCTTGCAACGAAGTGTTTGCTCGACACTTGTTAGCAACGTGTAAACAAGAATCTGGCGAAAATCTGGATCAGTTTGTTCGTCGACTCAAGTCGCTGACTACAGATTGTTCATTCAGGGCAGTTACAGCCGAAGAACATCGTAACGAATCTCTACGTGATTCATTCATCTCAGGTATACAGTCTTCGATGATACGCCAGAGGCTATTAGAACAGCGTACTTTAACTTTTCAAGCGGCATACGATCAAGCACGAGCTCTAGAGATGGCACATCAACAATCGCAGTCATACAACAATCCTGTTACACCTTGCGCGTCCATTTCTTTACATGATGTACCTCATTCATCAGATTCCACACCCTCCGTCAATGAAACAACCATTGCTGCCGTTGAATCCAAATGCTTTTTCTGTGGTAATCGTAGACATCCTCGTTCCAAATGCCCCGCCCGTGATGCAGTTTGCAAAGCTTGTGGCAAGCAAGGACATTTTCAGAAGGTTTGCAGGTCTGCGCCATCTACGAAAAAAGGTCCATCTTCAGTTAACTCTATAATTTCATCTCTCGTTGTGGCTTCAGCACCTCAAAGTCTCACTGATGCTGTTACGCAGCTTACTGTCAATGGGAAATCAATGCAAGCTCTAGTGGATACCGGAAGCAGTGAGAGCTACATCTCTTCCTCAGTTGTTCGTAAGTATAACTGGAAAGTCCATAAGTCTCGAAACAGAATCACAATGGCGAGTACGAATCTTACTAGTCATACTGAAGGACATTGTTTTCTATCCATCTGCTATAAAAACCACACTTATGATCTATTCAAATTTTCCATTCTTCATAATTTATGTGCAGACGTCCTTCTTGGACATGATTTTTTAAAACTTCACAAACACATTGAGATTCCTTTTGGGGGATCAAAGCCGCCTTTTTCTCTCTGTGGTCTACCTTGTGTTCGCGTCGACCTGCCTACTCTGTTTGAAAATCTTTCAAAAGACTGTAAACCGATCGCGATAAAATCCCGGCGTTATTCTCGTGAAGATGAAAGTTTTATTTCCACCGAAGTCAACCGGTTACTGCAAGAAGGTGTTATTGAACCTTCTAATTCTCCTTGGCGAGCTCAAGTTCTTGTTACGTCAAACGAACGCCATAAAAAGAGGATGGTAGTTGATTATAGTCAGACAATCAATCGATTCACTTTTCTGGATGCTTACCCATTACCTAGGATTGACGAAATGATAGAAAAAATCGCACAATATGACATATTCAGCACTCTTGATCTGAAGAATGCTTATCATCAAATTGCCCTAAGGAACGAAGATAAACCATATACTGCTTTCGAGGCTTGTGGGAAACTTTACCAATTTTGCCGAATTCCTTTTGGTGTTACCAATGGCGTAGCTTGTTTTCAACGCATTATCGATGAATTGATCAGTAAAGAACAACTCACAAGCACGTTTGCCTACATTGACAATGTCACTATCTGCGGCAAAACTCAGGAGGAACACGACAAAAATCTAAACAAGTTTATGGTAGCAGCACGCAATTATGGAATAACCCTTAATGATTCCAAAAGTGTGATCTCAAGCAGAAGCATACAATTACTCGGTTATGAAGTTTCAAAGGGGTTATTAAACCAGATCCCGATCGGCTAAAACCTCTTCGTGATCTAGAACCACCCACAGATATCAAATCTCAACAACGGGCCGTTGGATTATTTGCTTATTATTCACAGTGGATCCCTCGCTTCTCAGATAAAATCCACCCATTGGTAAATAATCGGATTTTCCCTCTTGATATCGAAACTCGAAATGCTTTTGACAAACTGAAAGACGACTTAGAACGTGCAGTCGTTGTGGTAGTTGATCCGAAAGCACCCCTTGTTGTTGAAACAGATGCTTCAGATGTCTCAATTGCAGCTACATTAAACCAGAATGGTAAACCTGTCGCCTTCTTTTCTCGAAGTGAGAAACATCATTCATCGGTTGAGAAAGAAGCCTATGCCGTGGTTGAAGCAATTCGTAAGTGGAAGCATTACCTTCTCGGAAATCACTTCAAACTTGTCACTGATCAACGTTCAGTAGCATTCATGTTTGACAAGATTCATAAAGGCAAAATCAAGAACGATAAAATAATGCGTTGGAGAATTGAGCTATCCCCTTATCAATATGACATCATTTATCGTCCTGGAAGGGATAATCAAGCTGCTGATACATTTTCCCGTAGTTTCTGCGGTTCCTTGCAGTCAGTGTGCGACTTGAAATTTCTCCATGACTCTATGTGCCATCCTGGAGTTGTCCGAATGATGCATTTTGTACGCTCGAGAAACCTTCCATTCTCCCTTGACGAGGTGCGCAATGTAACCAGTAAATGCGTGACATGCTGTGAGTTAAAGCCTCAATTTTACAATCCCTCTAATTTCAAACTCATAAAAGCAACCCAACCTTTTGAAAGGTTAAGCATCGACTTTAAAGGACCTCTACCGTCAGCTAGCCGCAATCACTATCTGCTCACGCTGATCGATGAATATTCTCGATTCCCCTTTGCATTCGCCTGCCCCGACATGTCGTCTCAAACGGTAATGAATTGCCTTTGCCAACTGTTTTCGATTTTCGGTATGCCTTCTTACATACATACCGACAGAGGCGCTGCTTTCATGTCTACCGAATTACGGGCATTTCTTCTGGAGAAAGGCGTAGCAACCAGTCGTACTACCTCATACAATCCTCAAGCCAATGGGCAGGTCGAGCGCCTCAATGGAACACTTTGGCGTGCCATCACTCTAGCATTAAGATCACGGGGCCTACCAACGGCACAATGGGAGTCTGTTCTACTCGACGCCTTGCATTCCATCAGATCTTTGCTCTGTACTGCAACGAACGCCACGCCACACGAACGACTGTTTACCTATAACCGAAGATCGACATCTGGGACAACTCTTCCTACTTGGCTCACTGTACCAGGACCAGTACTTCTCCGGCGGAGTGTTCGTCAGTCCAAATTCGATCCCCTGGTTGAAGAGGTGGAGCTATTGAATTGTAACCCGCAATTCGCTCACGTTCGCTTCGGTAATGGACGTGAAGATACAGTTGCTCTTCATCATCTGGCACCCAAAGGCGAAGATATAGATCAAGTTGAAAATTCAATACCGGAGGGCGACGCAATTCCTGAGCAACAAGTAAATGGGGATGCGACCACTGATCCTAATATTCTTCGTGAAGAAAATACAACTGAAACGAACAACGGGCGTATTCTTTTGGAAAAACAACAACGTGTACGGCCTTACAATTTGCGTACCAGAGAAGCGTGACATAATGGCTCATTCCTTTTCAAGCCGCAGTGAATGTTGTGAACTTTTCTTATAATACGTATCTAGTCATATTCATATCTCTACCGCTATTAACACTCTTTTTTCCCTTTATATGTTTAAGCCATTCCGGCTTCATTGTAAAATGAATAAAGCCTAAATTCTTGGTTCATTCGTCTTTTCAAGATTCAAGCATCACTCATCGTTCTAAGACTCAGTCACCTTCGTAACAATCAGTACGTAGAGATTCTCTGTAAAGCAGCTTAATATCACTGACAACACATTTTTGTATCACCATCTCTCACACGCATGTTAATATATTATAGTCCTCATCTGTTTTCTCACTTATGCTTATGGTAACTAGGACCCCAAGCGAATTCCTCCTAACAACTTCATTATCATCTTTTGTTTGCTATTGTGAAGGCACCGGTGCAGAACTATCAAGTAGAGATAATGCGACAGACCAGCTTCTCAAGAACGTAGAAACTTCTGTGAACTTATCACGATATCATCATTCTATGCGTAGACGTTTTGCAGGTAACGTTTATTCTTAAATTCATATATATTCGTTGGGGTTTCTTTGCGTGTGTTCTAATCCTATCTCCGTCGGGATTTTTAAGCGCATCGGTGGTTAACTGATTGGATACTCGTCAACCACTCACGTAGTCCGGGTACGATCCCCGGCTGACGCACTCCTTGACGTCGCTTAAGATCAGTAAGCCTGGTGAAGGGGGCAGGTTAGACCTACGGCTGGCAACTCTACGCCATTGGAAACAAATACCACTACTCCTGGAATTTGAGAGTTCATACTTGAAGCCTTGTGTTCCCGTAGGAAAGCAAAGGAATAGAATCTAAAAAAATGAAGATGGCAAGTAATCTTACGTAATCAAGAGGGTTGACAACCAATTAATTAGGTGCTGAATGTTTTAGAAATGATCGCTAGAAAGCATGAAAACAAAGGGAGTGAAAATGGGTTACGAAAATAAAAATAATAAAAAAATGAAACAATTACACAGAGTTTATCGTACCGCGATTCGGGTAAACAACAGTTAGCACTAAGGACACAGTAGTAAAAGATTTGTAAAAACATTTGTGAACATAAAATCCAGGTTTCTCCTTACGGGGATTACTAAAGCTTCGGCTGCACGAAGAAACTGTAGACGAAATCTTTTTGACCGGTTGTAGTAGCAGGACATTTTCCAGATGCCTCGTGAACGCTTACCAGTATGGTTAACAAAAGAAAGCTCAATTCTCGTGCACGTTATCACTTCTGGTCACTCATCACTAGCAGAGACTTCATATATATCAAATTCAATCAAACCATTCAAAGAAATTTCGCTTACACCTTCATGCGACCGAAGCTTTAGTAATCTATGAGGAGAAACTTAGATTTTATGTTGTTCATAAATGTTTTATCCAGTCTCTTTTACTACCATTGTGGCATATGCTGCTGATAGGAATTATCAGTAGTAGTATATAAGAAGACTTTCATCGGCACACAAATATCCAATAGTGTAGAGATAGATTTGGCGTCCAAGTGAGTAAATGAACCAGCGTTGTGGCAAAACATGGAAGACAAGGAAACAATACGAAGAGTAGAAGTAGCAGATAAGGTGTACATAATTTCGCCATATAGAGATATTAAATTCCTAATAAACATTCAGTTACCAAGTCTCTTATCTTCTGCCGTTACAGCACAATCTTAGTGTCAGTTTTTCTTCTCCCTAATCGTTGTATGGTAAACTCTATGCATTCGTTTTATTTTTATTTTCTTAACACATTTTCACTCCTTTGTTGTCTTGTTCCTCTCTTACATATATATATATATATATATATATATATATGTTTAGACCCAACAGTTTTGTTGCGTATTCTCAATACCTTTTGTCATAATTATTTTCGTGCCTTTTAATCTGCATAAATTAATTCTTTTTAAGCACCCACCCACCGTAACCGATGCTCAAGGGATGCTTACCATACCAATAGAACCCAAGCTGATGCATTGGATATAAGTAGTTGTTCAAGTGAGCCTAAAAGAAAGACAAAGGGAGCCAGTGCAACGCTTTATACAGTACGAATGGGCTCAAAATGTTGTATAAAAAATGTGGGATTCGAGTCAGGATCTCACGATCCAAGCGATGCATGCCACAAACTCAATGCATCCAAAGAATATCTTTCTTACAGTCGGCATTCCACACCTACAACCTTAATCTTAGCTTCCTCGCTTTCTTCCGGAGATATCCACACTTCTAAAGAAAATCCTAATAAAGAAGCTTCAGATGCTTTTAACAAGCCGGCGGTAGATTCAGCTAGTCAGGCTGATAAGTGCTCAGCCCACTGTTCTCCGAAGAATGATTCATTTTCTTCACTGGATGACAAAAACACTGACCTAGGCATTAGAGAAGTCTTAGGGCTCACTCCGCCTACGGAGCAAGAATCCTTTGAGTATCAGGATGACCTGCCTCCCATAAGGTTAGTAAATTCTCTAAATTTCAATCTGTATTTCATATATTAATTCGCATAAATGGAGAATTAGTTTCTTAAATACATCTGTGACATCGTATACCCGACATAAAATTTTCTTTGACTATCTTAGATATTTTCCTTAGGTGTTATTCATTAAAATCTATTCAATGAGCGTTTACTTCTTACTGTATTACCCAGGGTGGCCTACTAGTGTAGTGATTGCCACTTACAATCAGATATAAGTAGTATATCACTAAACGAGTTCAGAACAGCACCAATATGTTTCGGACACTGGGAAAAACAATCGAAGAACAGAACTGTGAAAAAAACGTTAGAGACACTTTGCAGAATCCAACAAGCTATCGAATATAGTGATATTCGACTAATAAAGCATTGGTGATATGGTACGATAAATTTGTTTACCTACAATGAGTTTGTCTTAATAAACATTCTTTCGAGCCTTATGGGTCGTTTCTTCCTTACAGTAGTATTATAATTTATTTCACAGCTACATTCCATTTATTAACCCCACTAAACTGTTGAGAAATACTTTAGCTTGTGCTCCTTTCTATTTTAGTTTCTCTTTTTTTCGGATTTATATTCGCTTGTCCCAAAACAAAAAACCACACTACATCTTCTACGGTAAAACAAGTGATGGTCGCTTGTTATGAATGTTGTCTCCGGGGAAGTTAAGGGATGGCAAAATTGAGCAACTCTGCCTAGTGTCACTGTCAGCTCTGAACAATGATGAAAAGTTATATGTCATCACTCTACTCAGGTTTTGCTTCTCTATGATCTGAAGATTTTGGTCATCGCTAATTAGTACTGAAATTCGGACAAAGTTTTATGCAAGGAAACGAATACAGCCTTAATATCAACAAATAGAGTAGATGTTATTACGCAAAATTTAATATTCAAGCCATTGTTTGAGTGGGGACACTTGGTCAGTATGTTTTAAGCCAAATAAAATCCGATCTGCATCTCGTCGGCTATTTTCTTTTAGTCCGCCTGAAACAAATTATTGCCTATTCTGTTGTTCCTCACACTGCTTAAACCTCTTTTAGAGGTCATTCAAGAATGATGAAAATCTTTCACACATCCCTGAATAACTTAGCCAGTCATTCGACTAGAGAAACTAGGTGTGATGCGTTTGTATTTAGAGGTCCTTTCAAACATTTTTGCTATGTAGTTCCATGTTAACTGATCATGTTGCGTTAGACCTCAGTACATACAGCTCTTAGCCAATAGGTCAGGTAAACCATTTCTTTCTGTCTGGCATTACTAGTTGTTGAAAGTTGTTAACTGGCCCACCGTCTGTCTCACAGATCATTTTGCTGACTCCTGTCTTTTGCCATCTGTGATTTTACCATACTCATAGCTCCTATCTGTTAAACAAATGTATTTGTTAATCAAAAGTTTAGGGTCTTTAGATTAACGGTCACTATGGTTCGAAAACCTATCCCTATTCTGAAATTTGGACAGCGTATGTTTTATTGAATATATATATATATAATATTTGTGTTTATTTAAGATCCATGTAGATCCTTTTGTGTATCACAGGTCATGAAATTCATCCAATTTGTTCCTGTTGTCATTCAAATTCTAGATCCAACTCTCTTTCAAATCGCTCTGAAGCGGAATCCTATCAGTCGCAGAGGCATAATACCACAATAGGAAACCAAGAAGAGGGTGAAATTTCGGATGATAACGAAGACGCTGAAGTGCTCAATTCTTCATCCGATTTGAATAAAATACGCAAAAGGTCTTGGTCCCGTTCCTCACACTCCAGTTGTAAAACCCCTAAACTGTGCTCAGAACGACAAGTTAATGATGCTTCAAAATGTCAGGTCTCTACAGACTTTAAACACCTATCACCTTATCCTACGGGTATTTACCGGAGGTTGAGTGAAGGTTCGAGAAATTCCGGTCCAGATTTTTCAAATTTGACTTATCGAGTATCTCCTAAATGTGGTGAGCCATTTGCCAATTTTCCTACTATCCTATTCCATTTTCACTATTGCCGTTTTCTGTCTGTCTGTCTGGATTCAACATAGAACTTGGCACCGAAGTGCAGCAGTTCGAGTTGCCACGTTCCAAATAGCACACAGAAGTAGACAAGAAGATGAGTGAAGAGAATCAATACAGTCTGACAAGTATAAGAGTGAAACAGAATGGGTAATGGTAGAAAGTAATATGAAAGATTACAGAGACTGAATACATCTGCGCTGGCCATTGACAACGATTTTGAGCCATGTCACCTATTGTCTCCAGCCATTGATTCCTAGAGTCCCGAGGGCCCCAACCCGGGAGTCTGCATCTCCCTACCTGACTCAGTTTAACTGTCAAGGATTTCATGGATTGATGCCACGTTTTTGTTTGGCCACCACTTACTCTTTTCCAATCTGAACCTATATCAGCTAGCAATGCCCGTCGGGGGAGGCGGTGGTTAGGCATGCGCAGCACGTGACCTAGCCACCTTAGTCTATGTAACTTTATGGCCTCGTCGATTGATTTTCCCTGTTTGCCCAACACTCTACGCCTAACATCAACATTACTTATCTTGTGAAACCACCTAACGTGAGAAAGGGATCGTAGACATCTATGATCAAAAACAGTCAACCTTTTCATGTCTTCAACGCATATTGGCCATGTTTCAGAGCCATAGAGAAGGACGGAGCGAATTGATGAGCAGTACACGCGTCCCTTGGTTGATAACCGGATGTCACGCCTACGCCAGAGATGGTGTAAGTCAGCGAAAGCAGCTCGAGCTTTTTGGATCCGTGCTGAGATTTCATCGCCAATCAGTCCGTTGGTGCTGATACAACTTCCCAAGTAGGTGAAGTGGTCAACATGTTCTATCACTTCCCTCCCTATCACTAAGTTAGGGGTTGACGTGGTCCAGTCCTGTAGCAGCATCTTACATTTTGCAGGGGCGAATCGCATGCCAAACATACGAAGATTGCTGCTCAAGGTGTTCAGAAGACTCTGCATTTTTTCAGCATCCTCCCCTAACAGGACTATGTCATCTGCATATTCTAAGTCCATTAGATTATTCCCTGGTAACAAGTCGATTCCTAAGTCACTACCTTCAGTTAAGGATACTTCCATCAGCATATCTATGATGAAGTTAAACAGAAATGGGGAAAGTGGACATCCCTGTCGGACACCACTGGTTGTTACCAATTCAGATGACAATTCCCCATAAGCCCTTACACGACTACGTGAGTTTGAATAGAGTGCCTTGATTAGTGCAGTGTACTTTCTTGGCACTCCCTTCACAGTCAGACATTGCCATAGTACCTTTCGATCCACGGAGTCGAAGGCCGCCTTCAAGTCAAGAAATATGACAATTGTTGGACGCCGAAAAGTGTGTCTATGTTCTAGAATCTGTCGAAGAGTGAAGATATGATCTATGCACCCTCTACCTGGTCTAAAGCCTTCTTGATTTTCCCTTGTCTGTTCCTCCCGAGTTCTGCTTAGTCTATGCATGATTACTGAGCCTAGGATTTTAGAGACTATGTTCGTTAGGCTAATCCCCCTATGATTATCACACGAGGACTTGTTTCCCTTCTTGAATATCGGTATAATAAGTGACTTACCCCAGTCTGATGGCACTGTCTCTGATTCCCAGACTTTGCCTAGTACCTCAGTTAACCTACAAACTAGTATGTCACCCCCATATTTAAACACCTCCGGAATAATTCCGTCGGGTCCTGCCGCTTTGCCTCGTTTCAAATTACTGATAGCTTTTGTAACCTCACCTACAGACGGCGGACCAGTGTCTATATCCCATTCGGGTGGGTGCTGGATGTCGGGGAGGTTCAATGTGGCTGTAGGCAAGTTAAATTGTTCCTCAAAGTGTTCTTTCCAGCGTTCAAGGCGTCTATCCTGAGAGTTAATTAAGGAGCCATTTTTCTCAGAAATAGTCTCACTTATGAATTGCCTTCTCCCGCCCGATTCTGTGATGAGTCTGAAGAGTTGCCTAGTGTTTACTATCATTTATTTAGAACAGACTTACATTAGCAACGTAAAAATGTATTCAGCCGACAAAACAAGCTTTATTATACCAAAACAAATAAGTTGAAAGGCCAGCAAGGGAAATAAATCTTGAAGATATGACGTTTAGTTGGAATACTAATTGTTGGCTACTAAGAGATCAAAATATCATATATGAGTCAACGAAACCTAAATTCACATTGTATTATTATCATTGTTCCCTTGGGTTCCTAGCGGAACATAGGGCTTCAACTGCACGTCTCCACTTGCTTCTGTCTTCTGCTGTACTTTTAACCTGCATCCATGCTAGTCCATACTCGTTCAACTCCTCTTCACACGATCTCTTCCATGTCACCCTTGCACTGATGTCCCACTCGACCAATGGCCTGACGCGCGTGCGATGTCACCCAGCGGCGGCCTCCTCAGCGAGTGTCCAATCCATCTCCAATTTCTCCTGCATATTTGTTGGGCGATTGGTTTGTTCTTGTTTTGTTTGTTCCCATAGTTTCTTGTTGGTGATTCTTTCCGGCCCGGCCATCTGATCTTCAGTATAGATCCAGCGAGGACAGTTGTTGATAAATGTCTGCAACAGGCTTTTGGAAATATTCTTTGTGACCCGCCGCCAAGTTTCTGATCCGTATAGAAAAGCTGACTGACTTGACGTTTGTATTGAAAATCCGACCGAATTTTGTTGTTGATGCTGGCTGAGTGACGAAGATTTCCAGATTGGTTTCAGGTTGATGAATGTGTTTCTCGCTCGCCTTCCCGATTCTCGCTCGATTTGACATCCTCGTCCGTTCCGACTGCCTGCAGTTGAGACAATGCTCCCTAGATAAGTGAGTGAATGAAGCAGCCTCTTCCAAATCCCTCCCGTCGATGGTGACTGGCGCTGAATGTTGTTGTTAGTTGGTTATTTTCATAACCTCCGTCTTGTCTATGTTTACTTGGAGTCCTGTCTTTACTGCTTCTTCGACCAGTTTGTTGGTTTTCGCTTGTAAGTCTTCGATTTTGTGTAACATCAAACATGAATGTGCGTCGGTGGCACAGTGATTAGGACTCTCGCCGACCATGCACATGGTCCAGGGTTCTAGCCCACACCGGCGCACACCAGATATCTATGGTCGGCCTGCGAAATTTGGGCTACCGATATCCACGCTGAAAATTCCATACCTGTACCAAAAATACAATGTGGAATCAAGCTGTTACCAAAAATAAAAAAGAATCATCCACGCGCGAAATCCAGGTCTTCTAGTTTCTTCACGTCGGTCCAGGATATCCCTGTCTTCTCGTTTCCCACTGTCTGACGCATAATCCAGTCCACCACAATTGGGAATATCATTGGTTGATAATAAGCACCCTTCTATGACTCCTGCGTTTACTCCTAACGCCTCTCTGAGTTTTCCGTTGTGGATCACTTGATGTGCCGTTGTCGTACAGCTAGCTGTTGAATAAGGTTGATGAATAATTGGGGTACGCCTAGTATTCGAGTAGTTTCTAAATTACTTCGCGGTCAACGCTGTCAAAGGTCTTCTCAAAGTCTATACAGTTTGGATGTATAAATATAGCAAACATACTAGGTGTGGTTGAAGGAATAAACAAAAAAGATACAGCAGATATGTGTTAAGATCTTGAAGGGAGGATCGATAGTTTAGTAAACGATAGTAATTAAGAGTCAGAAAATCTAGGTGCATCTAGAAATCATTCTCAGTGAATATTCTTCATAGTAGCCTATAGGGAACAAGTAGTCCGCTGAAGTATTTAAAGTTGTACAAGCACAAAGTTCAAGCATCCTGTGAAGTCAAAAAATCCAACTGATCAGTCATATAACATAACTAATTTGTTTATATAAGAAAAGAAATCTCGGTATAATTCCACAATAGAATAATTTTATTTAATAAAACGCAATTATGTATTTAGTCTATATTTAAATTAATATTAGTGTCACTGTGTGTTTAGCCAAATAAAATTATCTTATTCTGGAGTAGCTAATGATTATTATTGGAAGCGGTAACATTATGACAATTTGGAGATGTAAGTATGAAGCATCTTTTCAGCGGCTAGAACTGTAGAGGTTTTCAGTTCAGTCCCTACTAAAATCTTGTGGTGGTCCAATCCCACCTCTGGTTATATGTTTGTGGTGTGTGTGACTTTGAATGTGAACTCTTGTTAATAGAATGAATATTCATCCGCTTAAGTACTGTAAACGTGTCTCTGTCTCATGTCATATTTATAAATGTCCACTTTAATTTCATACACACACTGAGTTAACTGTGTAACAACGTAACATATGTTAGACATAAAATGTGTTATGAGAATATGGTGTATGGGTTATTGCAGCAATACGGAAGCAAACGTTGAATATCATCTTTCTTGTTTCGCACTTCACCAATTACAAAGTGGTGGCAATAAGAACAATATTAATAAACGTCGCGAAGCATTAGTTGAATACCCTGTTAAGTAATCTAATCATGTATGCAGTTTGCGGTTGCGCGTCGCTATTGTGCTTTGTGAGAGAATGCATGTGAATTGTCTGTTTCATTTATAGCTAAGAAGATATAACGCTTTGGAACAGCTGTTTTTATTATGCATGATAACAAAGCGTATGTGGACTGCTAGCAGTGTAAAACAAGAGTTTTTGGAGATAAATTATTTAGATTTGCGTAATTTCGGAGAAAAAGTATAAGATTCTCTTAACGCTGAGTATTTTCATAGATGTAGACGGTAGTCAGTCTCTGTGCTACACATCATCCACTTGTACAGAAGTATTTCTAACTGATGACTAATGCATATTTTCTTTAGTGCTGTATCCTATTTGGTGTGAATTTAGTTTTTGTTTCACAAATTTTTCTTTTATTATTTTTTATTCAAGAAGATAAACATAACACGAAGTTATACTGTTCATCTGAAAATCATCACCATCGTGCGTCACGATTAGGTTCGTCTGCCTCAATATCCCCTTCTACGAGAAATTCCCGAAACGAACACCACCATCGCCACCATTCCTATCGGTCATCACACTCCACATCTAAGCATCGTCCTGTCAAGCGCCATTATGTTTCTCCCGAGAGACGTGATAGATCAAGCACTTCATCGAATCCACCCAGACGACGTATATGTCATTCTCCAGTATCACCAAATAACGCAAATTCTAACCGTCTTCTGTTTGGGCATAACAGAATAGTACGTCGGAATCGACGATTTCGTGTTTTGTCTCCCATATTGAACAGGTATCCTCATCGTCGACTAGGTGTAAATTTTTCGAAGGCGTCTGGTCCACGTTTCGGTCGTGACCAGTATCAACACCAAAACCACCAACATCGTCATCAACGAAAATTTTAATGTCATTTAATCATGACTTTGTACATATTAAAAATATATTTCATGCATGTAATTAGAGAAAAAGTAGAAACAGATCATTTTTTGCCTTTTATCTATTTTCGCAGTTGTTAAAGACGTTTGTAATTTTCTCTTTAGAATTGATAATTAAAATAGTTATTTTTTGATTCTCCTAGTTAACTTTATTGAATATGCACACTCATTCAACAGCTAGTTTATTTTTCGTCAAGTAAACTACCGGTGACCGACATTTTTTCCTGTGAATTGTTTTCTTATTTTCCAAAATACTGTTAAAACTGTTGAGTAATATGAGATAGCATATATATTTACTTTAAAGTATTGTAGCTGATCTAAGCCTGTGTATCATCATCAGTATCATTATAATAATAATAATAATAATTATAGTTGTTGTTGTCTCAGACTTCTAATTCTTGTGAATAATAATATTAAAAGCGATAATCACCATTCAGCCTAAATATATGTGAAAAGAGTAGAACAAGATAATTTCCTTTGAAAAGCAACAATATTCAGTTGAGTTGTGTAATATCATGTGTGGGTAAAGAAGCTCATGATCACCGAAACCACAGATTTGCAATCGTATAGTATTCTTATCTTTGCGAAGCATAGTATTTTATCAAAAATTACATGAAGATGTATGTCGATTGTATCTACTTTTTCATCAGGATTTAAAATATAATTTTTTTAAAACAGTAATATCTATCATAAATATATCAAAATTTAGGTTGGATGACTGTGTTTCTTATCGAGTGAAAGTCCTCTGTCTAATAATACAGCGTCAAAAAGGAACATTGATTTCTCCCAAAAGACTAAGATTGTAACAAATTTAGGAAACTACGAATGGTGAGGTATCTGTTAATTAATCTGATATTTAAAGCAGAGGTCTGTTAGCCATAACTAGCTGTGAGGAGGAACTGCAAGTTACTGAAATCAGTCATTTACTGATCGACTATAAATATCTGAGCTAACTGCACTAATTTTTCGTAACATAAGAATCATTCAGTTGCCCTCTGGTTTAAGTTTCACTAAGGGATGTTAATCAACTTAAAATGTTATACTGACTACCGTCCAGTGGTAATATAACTTACACATTCCGTCGTCTCCGCTCTGTACGAAAATGGCACACATACGAAATTGGGTCTGTGTAACGAAATCACTGAGTACTTCGAAAGGAAATCATGATCACGTTTCCCCCCTTTTTAATGCTAGTAGTCAGTTCTCTGACATGCAAAGATGGACACGGAATATGAAGACCACTAGATAGTCTGTCTGTCTGTTTTCGACATAGAACTTTGCACAAATGTGCGGAAGTTCAAGTCGCCACATTCCGTGTAGCACGCGAAGCAAGAGAAGAAAGTACAAGGAAAGCATAATAGAAACAGTGAGCAGAGGTGTGAGACAAAGGAGTAATAACGAAGAACAAAACAGTTTCATTGAAGATCATAAGTCACAGGGAGTGGATGCATCTGCGCCACTGAGAACGATTTTGAGCCATGTCACCAATTGTTTCCAACCATAGATTTTTACCGTCCCGAGGACCCCAGCCTGGAAGTCTACACCGTCCTACGTGGCTTAGACCAACTGTTGTGGATTTCATTGACTGGTGCCAAGTTTTTGTTTGACCGCCGCTAGCTTTTTTCCAGCCTGACCCTATATCCGCTAACATTACTAGATAGACTTGAGGGAAATCACTATTCTGGCTTTCTAACTTGCCCTTGTCATTTGGTTTCAGCTACTCGAATTGTTCAAACGCACTTTGTGTTATTTTTTCTGGAAGAATTGTCATGGAATTGGAATTTATTATTTCGTATATTGCACCGAAAGTATTCATTTTCAATCTACAACTAATTATTATCAGTTATGGCATCCGCATCCGAGTGCACAACTTGTATCAATGATTACACTGAGTGCTAGTGTACTGCTCAAATAATGAGTGTATAGTACATGACAATTTATTGTGCACTTTATGAAATGAATCAATACGTGATTAATGTAAAGTGTTTCTGTGTTTAATCTAAATAATAAAATGAATGTGATTTTCCTAAAGACTTCATAGTCAGCGTTCTGAATATATACAAATGGACATGCATCCATGTTGCAGTTCATTTTTTGATTGATTCCTCCTAAAATCTAATAATATCATATTCATTTAGTGAATAAATAGTTTTGTTACATTGTCTGGACAGTTTACTGTCGCATTATTCACAGCCATATTACACGATATATTTATTTTTGCTGTATCTGAAGTGCACTCAGTGCAGGTTCACTGGTTAAATTAGAAGTGATATAGTGTGCAAACCGTCATTAAGGGGGAATAGTTTCACTTCACTAATGAATTTTAAATCGGGAAACTATAGGTTAGTAAAGATACCTCTTTTCCCAACTCCTCTCCGAAGTTGTACAATTATTTAGGGGTTCATATGCACAACGTTAATTGACAACGAAGATAAGTGGTCATCGTCAGTTGGAAACTAAGTAAGTCAGTATATGAGGAATGCCAATGTGTGAAAAATTGTGAGTAATTTTACGCATTCGAAAAGGCTGAAAAGTTATCTGTTAAGTGATAAATAATTATTTGGGAATAGTTGATAGGAAATAGGATGACAAAATACTGAAAATTGGCTACAAAGATAAAAAAAGTAAGTAATATCAGATTGATACTAAGGCCATAGCATTAAAAAAGAATGAACAAAACTTTTCTGAACGCAAAGTTTAAGTTTTCCCTTATGAATCGCTAAAGCTTCGACTATATGAAGATGTAAACGAAATCCTCTTCAGCAGCTTGACCTTATTTAACTGCATACGAGGGAGTGAATTGGTAGATACGCATTGAGTTTGTCATCATTTGGATGTCGTCTATGACCTTTAGATGAACAAGGGGAGGTGAAGCGCACATATGCAGCAAAGAACATTCTTCTGATTTCTCTCTTCGGGCAACTTCACAAATTGTATTTCCTCTGAATTTCAGATTTACAATTAGTTCTTTCTTCCGAACATCCAGACTTCGTGGTGCATCGGCTTTTATCTTTAACGGCTTATCGGCGAAACGAACGCTGAGCATTTTGAGTCCATTTCCAGTGGTTATGGGAGGGGGGTTCCATCTGGTCCTGCTGCTTCCTCGGCTTCCAGTAAATTGATGATCCTCAAAGCTTCTGATTCTATAAAAGAGTTTGTGCCCACTTATGATAGTTGTGTTCTGTTGGCGTTACTTCTGGAGAATTTGTCGGAGTTACTTGTAGTGATCAGGTCAGAGTTTGCTCTTCCCGGAAAGAGATTTTGTTATTGGATATAGTGTCGTGAGGTCTCTCTTACCTGCAAACTATTCACTTACACATGCCAGTGTGGCGTAAAAGTCATTTTTCTTCCCTGCCAATTTTCTTCACTCCTTTTTCCAGTGTCCTGTAGGTTATGTTCACCTCTTTCTTTCGTTGTTCACCTCTGCATCGTTCCAACTTCTCAGCCTCCAAAAGTGTCCGTAGTGATCGCTTCTTCGTCTTGTCAAAGATATGTATTATAAGTTCCCTCCCAAGTCGCTTCCACATAGTTATAGTTTTCTTCCCCTGAGATTTCCGCAGTGATATTGCTTAGTGTCTACAAAGTCCCGATGATGACTGTCATGATGGTGTTCTCTGTAGATTCGTCCTTCAGTTTCTGAATATTGAGCTTCAGTCGTGGACTATCTCTGGCTTCTTTGAACCAGTGACACTTGACCTCGGAGTCTCCTACATTGGATCCTGAAGACACATCTTCCCTCTCTCAATATTTTGTTCAGTAAGCTGTCTTTTCACTTTCTTGATATTGAAATGAAGTTTATCTGCTGTGGAAGCCATGCTATAGTATACATATCCTTGTTGTGGTACACGCTGCCTCCGAACACCATTAAAATTACTGAAGTCTGCAAGGGGTTCTCATTTGTTTCACTGATCGACTTCCTCTTCCTGTTATGTTCGATGCCCAGCTTGCCTGGCATTCATATCATCCATGAGAATTTCGACAATAATAATATCTGGCTCGGCTCTTGTCCATTAGCACTCGTAATTGTCTATGGAAGTCCCATTTCTCCTCTTTTGATTGTGTTATTAATAGGCGTAGAGAATTGCATAATTGTAACTTCCGTCTTTTTGAGATGAATCTTGTTGCCAAGATCCTGAAGGGAGATTGGATCCCATTGACCAGCCTTTGACGCTGGTGGTAACACTGTGATGGCTACACCATCAGTGCGTTTGTTGTTTTCATATGGGTGGTCAAAGTAGATTATTGACTCTCCATTTGATAATCGGAAGAGTTCACTTCTGCTCCGTCTGCTCGTCCAGATTCCTAGCGGTCATAGACAAACATTTCAATTGCTATATAATCTGAGCAATCTTACTGGCCAGCCTCAAAATTCAGATGATTACACTATGGTTTTCACTCACTTTTATATGAATGCTGTTGTGCTGATGACCCTATTTGTCCGTTTGATTCTCATTACGTGAAGTGTAGTTAGAACATGTAAAATTCTGCCTAGAGGTTAATTTTCTAAACCAGAAGCTACGTGAACAGTTTTTTCATACATCATTTCATTAAATTCATCTAATTAAGCCATAAAACTAAATTTACCTATTGAAACGATTTTCGTTTATTGTAAACTACTGTACGAATGGACGCTAAGCACAAGTAGAAACCTAATCACATTCCGTACACACTATGAGCTACTATGTACTAAAACGCTAACCACACACTCAATCTAGTCTCAAAGATGAAAGTGACCAATGGGCTTGGAATTTTTCTGACAAACGTTTTGGTACATAACATCAAGAGGACCAAACTATTTCTTTTAATATTCTTTTTGTTACTTTGTCAATAAACCAAGCTTCAAGGGAAAGGTAAGCTCGGACAGAATTCATTGTTGTTTAAATAGTCGTAAATTCACTACAATGTTTGAATCACATTTGTGCTCCTAAACAGATGAAATCAGTAATTTATGTGTATTATCAGGCAAACTGAACGGTGTACAGAATGACTTGAACTTCGTATATTATTTAAAATTCATAAAACATCTGCATGCTACTTTGAAAAAAGATGAAAGAAGCAGAAGAATAAAAGTTGAAGTCACTTTTTCCTGATCTATCAAATGACAGTTTTCCACTGGATATATCTAATTATGTTCATAATTTATCCAATGTTTCTTTGTCAAAAGAACAAGCAGAAATTCTGATAATGGGTTTCAAGTTCTGTGTTCTCATGAAAAAAGTAAAGCGAATTGACATCGAATGTCTGTTTTAAAATCTTGATGACCAACTATGTACTAGGTTATGTAACAGCGAAAGCTGGTTGCGTTCAAACATGGTTGACATTGCTTATCAATTTTGAATCACGCCTACCAATCAAAAGTCGCACATTATCAAAGAACACTGGAGGTCTTTACACAAGCTCCAAAAACACAACAATATTGTTACTTTGCAATCTGATAAAGTACAGAGCGTGGCACTGATAAGATGGATTACATAGTCAAATTCTCTCTGATGAATCTATATTCGAAGTGGCTAATCGTACAAAAGATCAAACACTGTCGACTGAAGGTAAAATTGTGCAGCATTTAAGGCAACTCGTCAGAAAGAATACAATGATTAAAATACACATATATCAAACTGATTGGGTCACAGTTGCCAAAATAATACCGGCGTGTTAAAATACACACACGATGAAGCCTATGCTCCTAATGATGGATTAACCCTACCGCAAATTAGCACAGTGTCTATATGAATTACTGCAGCCTCTGCAAAAACGCTTTAGAAAGTATATCATTTCTGATTTACTCCAATTTATCAAGCAAATTAATGATGTCAATGTATCTGATAAGCATCTGGTCTCTTTCGATGTTACCTCCCTCTTCACAAATGTTCCAGTCATTGAAACTAATGACTTTATTTGTAGAGAAGTTGAAGACATACCCATCTCAACACCGGAATTGAGGAAATTGTTGCTTTTATGTGCTAAAATATCCTATTCCAATTCGATGGGCGTCTATCTCGTTAAGTTGATGGTGTGCAAACGGAAGCTCCTTGGGACTACTTTTCGTAGATTTATTCTTGTCAGGCCCAGAAATATATCTTTGAGAATCGCAAGTTATCTTCAAATAAGATAACACGAAAGTGCATACCAAACCATTACAATGTTTTAATCAGTGGTGACATGCAGTCACCTTGTCAAATAATGCTGTCTAATAAACCTATGTACACACTCAACTCAAAGTTCTCGCTTTTTGGCGAACCACTTAGCATATAAGTTATTTTATTTTAACTGCCAGGAAAGTATAAACAAAGAACACTGTTTACGAACTGCGTAACTGTACAACTTTATTTACATCACGAGTAAAATAAAAAGTACAAATTTGATTGAATAAAATGCTACCTGAATGATACAAAATGAGTAAACTTAATCGATTATTGACTTCTGGTAGGCTGAAGCAAGTAATCTTCATTACATCAGACGAAGTCTCACGAGAATATGTAGCTAGTTTATCCACAGACCATGAACTAACAATTAGAGTTTTCTTTTCAGAAGACGAAGTAAACCTTAACAAGCATTGACTTTGTGGAATACTGGGTGAGCTGAATAAGCTCCAGTTCAATTCTAAATTACATGAATCATGTTGATCTGTGCACATAGGAATTAATCGTATCACAGACCCACGAGGTCTACTGTCTACAGATACAACACCCATAGCAAAATAAAAAGTGGGCGATGAATCTTCTGAACAGCTTTTTACTAAAATGGAAAAAATCAGAAAATTAGGCCGTTTATCCGATATAGTTAATAAAAGCTTAGAACAAGGTTTAACTGGTCCGCTTGAATATGCAATCTGACTTAACTTGCCGAACATAATTTGTTCTGATATATGATCATTTACAGGATGTCCATCACTGTTATTTGTAAGTATAAGATAACCGATAAGTTCCATTGATGATGGACTGAAATGAATACCCAAAATACAAACTGGTTGAGATATTGATGACAATTTCCTCGTACAATGACTTAACGCGGTAAACCAAGAACTAAGTTTCGGTTGATACACATCGGCTATACAATGGTGATAAAAAACAGGTACAAGACAAAATTTTCCATCAGATGATAATTGAAGAATACTGTACGATAGTAGATCAGGGACATACAAAACAAACAACAAGTCATTTTTTTCAGTAAAACAGAAATCATACACAACTGCTGAAGAATAATTATAGGAACTATGAGAATTCTCACTTATCATAGGAAACATTTGTACATCCATTAGGCACGACTGATATAAATTGTTATCGATTTGAAAGTTCAAAGCGAGTGGGATTGAAAAAATGAACAAGGATGCAACAAGAACAGGAAGAGTTTTAGCTGAATATTTCTCAATCAATAAGACACCTACGTTCACATTTTCATCAATGGGATTAGTTGAAAGTACAATCGTCTCTAAGCATATTAAGTCGGCTACATATATTTTCTTTTCCCATAATAACTGTGAATCACTATCACAAAATGAAAGTGCATACAAGCTAAGTGTACGATCAGAGTCATACAAGGTAATCAACAAAAAATCCGACAACGGAACGCAAGATCCCAAAACACAAGATATTATGCGTTTACAGCACTCCTCATCATTAGGTTGAATTAAAATGCTCTGCACTAGCGAATCTTTAGACTTCAGTAGTTCAACATAGCTGAGATCTATTATGAAGAATTTGAAATGTTTGTTAGAAATAAGAACTTACCAAGATACTCTGGAACGTTCACATCAGAGAATCTTTCTTCTGTTACCGGTGAAAATATACTTCTATAACATGTACTTGTAGAATTAAGTTTCTTCTCAGCTTTCTGCAAGTAAGTATCACGTTAAAAATTTAGCACCTGTAGAAGAATACGTTTTCTTTCAAGCTCTTGCTGCAGAGCGCGTACACGTTCTTTAAGATTCTCAGATTGGTTCATAAAGTTGATAGATGTACCCCAAATGTAACACACACTATAGTACACAAAGTATAATGGAGTAATTAGATGGAGACGATTAAACTAATTACTCAAAATGCAGCATAGAAACACCCTCAGATATATTTGAAAGATTGGTAACATTATCTGATTGTCAAAACCTTGACAGATCATTAGAGTGCAAGACTCAGAAGAATGAGTCATAGGTTTACATAACTCGCAAATAGTTTCGCAGTGTATATTTAATTTTCATGTGCAAAATACACAACTTTAGAAATATGGTCAATCGCAGTAAGATACAGCAGAATATTCAAGATTAAAAACTTCAGCAAACTAAATCTATCCACTTGCCGTTTAACAATCAACTACATTTGTAAACGTCTGCAGTGGCTTATGATTTGCAACACAGGCCGTACAAGCCATCATATATAGACTCACTTATTTACTAACAATAGGAGTATAGCAAATAACAATATGAACAATACATGGATCCACATAAATTAGTAGATGAAACTGAATTATCCCAGTGAAGGATCAGTTTTACTGGAAGCAGTCGATCTAATGATAACAGCAAACGCTCATATACAGTCGTCTTAGGGAAGGACAAACCCACATAACCCCAAGAAAGTATTGGAGGTTTATACGGACTGACATGCCGACAAACTAAAACCAGTGACCGTCTTTCACAAATGAGTCCAGACAACCATCTACTCCAAGTCAACACTAATTGCAAACATGAGAGATATTCTCACCGAGCGACTGTCGATAGCAAGTGAACGATGGATACAAATACCTTATATAGCTTATATTACCGAGGTGCGTCGGTGGCATAGCAGTTAGGACGCTCGCCGACCATGCACATGGCCCGGAGTTCCATCCCCGGCCGACGCACTCCTTTACCTCCCTAAGTCAGAAAAAATGCTGGTAAAGAAGGCAGGTTAGGCATGAGACTACCAATCCCATCCTGTAAAAATAAACACTGCTACGGACACTTCAAGCCACTAGCTTGAAGCCCTATGTCCCACTGGGAACGCGAAATAAAATTATATTACTGCTTTTACTGGAATTGCTGTGCAGACTCCTCTAATGCATTAGTCCGTGGCACGTAGGTGCCAACGACTTAATGGAAGTAGAAAACATGAAGTTACCCTTACAATCCCAATTTTCTCATGAGAACATAAGAACTATATTTAAAATAGAGATGACAAACATATCTGGAAATAACGGTAATAATCGTCCTGTAGGAACCCGACATGATATTCAGTCTGACGCAAAAGCAGTGGTATAGGGTGTTGAAACCCGCAACCAAAAGTCAGTTAATGACAACGGATTTCTGCAGTTACAATCAAATTTAACAAGGCAAGGAGACTGATCCAGGACTTCAGAAATAACCAGTGGCCGAGATGCTAACCAACTACTTGACCACAGCTGAACACAATGTGTCACCTTATTATGCACGGAAATACGTGATTCGCTACAGGATAGTGCCACTCCTGGGATTCGTACTCGTCGTTTTACAAGACCACCCACCAGACCAATTAGCAGTCATTGGAAAAGCTAGCAGATATTGAGGGAATGGAAAGGAAATGAGTTGATAAAGCAAATGCAAGACAAATAGAACAAACGCGTATAAAACAGGAGAAGAAAAGTGCAAAATTAAAGAATGACTACTAGGGAGATAATTATGGCGTCAGTAGTCTCAAAGTAAGACAGTTACCAGAATTCATGTGCACACACACTTCAGCTTCGTGTGGTTGTTCGGTCTTCTGATGAAACTATGATTTTTGATATTCAATTATACTTCTTCGAAATCGGCAGAAAACTGTTTCTACACTCAACCTTACAGATGAACTGTTGTAAACGGCAAAATATTCACATTACTGACAATTGTTCATTCGGCTGGGATTGCAACGGAGATCTCCTATCAATTCCCCAAAGTCAGAGTGTACTTTAATTTATTTCGTAATTCACATCCCAAAAACATCACAAGTAAATACTTTTAATCAAAAATGAAAGTTTCATTAAAACAATTTCATTACGTTTTCGTCCTAGAGTGAAGAAATGAGTTCACACAGCCATTGTGTGTTGTGTGTGTACTACGCTAACTTCTCCTTTCCTTATAAATACACCGTAATAGTAGAGCTGGACACATGTTACCACATGATCTAAATGTCTCTGCTTTCTTGGATGTACTTGAAATAATACACAAAATTCTATGTTTTTATCACAGGCACCATCACACCTGAAAAAACACTTCCTTTGCTCCTTTCTACATTCATTTTCAATCTACTGAATATCTATCAAACGTTCCTTACTTGTAGCTATTTTGTACCTAATAAGGTGCACGCACAAATATGCTAATATGGAAGTGTAGTGAGCTTCCATGTATGTAAAGCAGATGACGCGAAAATCTAACGACTTTCCGGTGGTAGTCAGTGTGTACATCCACTGTGTGGCAGACATTAGCAACCCCTAAGCAAAACGACTCATCTGGTAATGCCGAAAAATGAGCTTAGGAAAGCTACAGTAAATAGATCCTCATAGGTCCGGTGACTGATATGAAAGCGCTACATTATCACAGAATCAATAATGATAGTGATAACGCCAAACATCAGTTAGCCACTCTAAAAGTAAGAAAACATACCGATTTAAGTGGCATGTCAGCCAACAAATTAGAAACACAATGCCTATGAATGTGGAGAAATGTATTCAGCGTGACAAGATTTGGAAGGTGATTCCGAAATGATAACTTAAGCACAGCAATCGATTTCAGCAATTTCAACCAGAATCAACAGCACCAGGCTTTCTCAATATTGCTTAAGTACTCTCAGATTTTGTCAGCGTTATTTTCATAACCTGCTTTCATTCAGCAGGTGTGCATTCCCAACTTTTTCGCATCAGAAAGGATATTGTACTGTCTTGTGGAACGTACAAAAAGTACTTTCTTAATAAACTTGTATTTCTCCTGGCAAGAGCGTAGACGTGCTAAACTATATAACACTAACAATTTCCAGACTATCTCAGAAACATTTTTCTCCTTCACGTCCCCCAGTGGAACATATGACTTCAAGCTAGTGGCTTGAAGTGTCCGTAGCAGTGTTTATTTTTACAGGATGGGATTGGTAGTCTCATGCCTAACCTGCCTTCTTTACCAGCATTTTTTCTGGCTTAGGGAGGTAAAGGAGTGCGTCGGCCGGGGATCGAACTCCGGGCCATGTGCATGGTCGGCGAGCGTCTTATCCGCTGTGCCACCGACGCGCAAACATATTGCTAAGTACCAATTTTTGTTTCTTGCAGTTACAGGGTATCATGTTTAGTCATAAGCTTAACTGGATTCAAAAACCTAGAAATTTTTTGAACACCTCAAATCAACAAACAGATGCTAGGTGCTAATAACAACCAGGAACAAGAAGAATAGCATAAGCTGAACACTTAGACCACCCATTAGGTGTTGGGGCTGAAGAACATTGCTATGTAGAGTTAATTAGACTCGGAAAACCTTGAACAGAAAAGAACATATGCCAACCCATCCAGAACGCATACGCACTGAAACACAAGATAAGTGTAGTTCGTAAGTAATTTTGTTATAGAAAGGGTTAAAGTATAGACAAATACCGCGAAAAAAAAATGTGGTTTATTTTTACTGGTCTATACTGAGTTCATTTACAACTTCAGGAACTTGATTCGCCATATATGGCATGAATATATTCACGTTCCAGATGAAAAGGAATTAGTTCATTGAAAACTAGTGCGTACATATTTGTTGCAAAGGAGCTGCAACTAACTGACCTGTGAGGAGCCGCTGATCTCTAGTGTCCAAGCCTACTAGAATTTCATACTCAGTTGCTACAAATAGGGTGATTAAGTATGCAGGGTTAGTAAATGTGATGGCTTCAGCTGGTTACAGAATACAGTCCGAATTTCATCTCGTTGTCCAAAACGTCACATTACGAAGTTTACGGGAAAACGCACGTAAACAGCATCATAGTGGTTGTGCTATGTCAAGGTGAGCCAGCCGGATAGTTCGTAAGTAGGGGGCGACCAGTGTAATCAAAAACAGCCCCCCCCCCCCAGTATATCATATGTGTACCCAATCAGAATCATTTCTTGCTGCTTCATAACAATCACCCAGAAGGTTATTTCCTTTTGGACCTAGAATATGTGGGTAAAAACATGGACAGTCTTTCGTTCAAATTTGGGCAGTGAGAAAAGGCGGACTGTTTTCGGTCGTAAAATGGGTAAACTGAGAAAAAGTGGGACATAAAAAATCTTTCGAGACATGTGCAAACGGGGAAAAGTGACCCATATGGGTAAACCGGGTTAATTATGTAGCACTTTAACCACCGTTCGCCCACCTATTCGCCGATCAAAATTACCCATTTAGCCCACGTTTTGGCTACATTGCCCAGATGCATTCACCGACTGGGATAGCCCATAACTTTACACAAACTAACCCACCCCTTACAAAGTGCAATGGTTTTGACAAATGCTGGGATTAGAACATGCCTACAAGCTAGAGAAGTGGTCGCTTACATTCACATATAACCCTGAACAAACCAGATACTCTTTTGGATATTCTCGCAGTTCCTTCATCATTTTTCTACAAACGTAGTGGCATATACCTGATTTCACTAACTAGCTCCGCACGTGCACTTCAGGATCATTGGTGCATTCGCACCTCCCAAACTGGCGGTAACCACAATGCACACGAAATACCCACTACCGTAACGCAGATAGTGGATAGCGGCCCAAATGGCTTATGGAGAGGCTGAGCACTTGAAGGTCACTTACGCACGCTGTGATTGGTAGATTTTCCTTTGCGTGAACGTTGCGGCTAATAAGTGCCTTACGTTACTGAGGCGGGCTTTGAAATAGCAATAAAAAAAGCCGATAGACATTATATTTTTTAGGTTAAGGGAACAAGTTAAGGCGAAGTACAAGAATAGCGTCCCAGGAGTGCGAACGTTCAAATGACCTTGAACGCATGCTAGTCGTTGGCTAACGGTCCGTCATTATCATAACTGAAATATCAACCCTATTCATCACATAAGGAGCAAGTTTCACCCAGATAACATTTTTAATTACTGTTTGGACAATGTGTTAACATCTCGTTAGGGTTAGGATTAGGGTTAAGGCGAGTTTTGGGGTTAGGGTTAGGGATACGGTCATAATTGGGATTGGGGTTAGATTTACGGCAGGATAAGGATTGTCATTTGGGTTATGATTAAGGTTAGGGCTAGTGTGAAGTTTAGGGTTAGGGTCAGGATTAAGGCTAGGGTTGAGATTATGAATAGATTTGTCGTTTATTTCAACTTGTTTTATTATCCTCATTTCCCTTGTATGTAGTCGCTAATGCTCTTACTGGAACCATAGTAACTAAACCGAGGGCTTAGGAGAGGACTACACAGCAATAGAAGAGAGATGAACCATTCCCAAAACAGCACACCTTCAGTCTCTTTGGTGAATACATCTACAAAAACTAGTCCAAATTAGCAACTGATACTCTTCATCGCAACTGGAACGTATTTTTAAGTCATATCAGAGAAATATAATCCGTTTAATGTTTTTTTCATGCATTTTTGTGTAAATATACGTTAAATTTTATGCAAAATTCCTCCTATTTTCTGATTGGTCGGCTCAAGGTCATTGTGCGCTCCCACCTCTTGGGACTCCATTCTTAAACTTTGCCCTTATAAATTTCACAGATATGAGAAGCATTAGATCCATTTACAAGGAGAATATTACTGGGTGACTTAATCAAAGAAGCCTTCGCGGGACATCCCCAACAGATAAGATAATAATAGCTTTATTCCAAATCAGTACTTGTGATACAGAATGAATTCTCAGCATTTTTTACTACAATATTGCATCCAGTTAGTACGTTAACAATAAATAAAGTTCTGCGTAGATTAAAGTTATCTCAGTCAGTTTTGACAACAACATATTAGCATGTCGGTAGCAAAGCCAAAATTTGAAGTGTTTGAAGGTGTTAGAAAAGTAGATACTACTAGCATGTTTACTGGCGTAAGCGATAGCAAAATGATCGAGATATACAGAGAGTGAAAGAACGAACAGGAATGTTTTAGGCAGAGTTTGTAAGGAAGAGAGAAATAAAACAGCTGTCAATGAAGTTGAAGATTGAACGATCAATTCATGGTTGTTTGCTCAAAACTAACTTCCTTATATTTTTCGCGGAGACATCGATACACCAGTCCAATATCTAATATCCTGATTACGAGCTAGTATAAACCAGTGATTTCTTTGAGCTCGCTTCTTGATTGTGAGGTAGAGGTTCCAGATCTTCGGTGAGCTTCTGCGTAGTAAGTCCCGACACTCGACTGCTTTAGCTCTGGTAGACTCCAGGAGGAGTGGTGCGGGGATTGGTCGAGATGTGGTTTGTAGTATGCAGTATGTTAGGACTGTATTGCTGCCGTGAATGGAGTTTGACCTAACTCCCGTTGGTCATTCGGTGTAGTCATAAAAGCAGAATAGTAATAATAATAATAGGTTGTAGTGTAGATAATATAGGTTGAGATAAGTGGAATAATAAAGGTGACCTAAGGAAAAGATAGAGTGAGAGAAGGCAGAATAGGTCGTGGGGATTTAGTTTGTACGCTTATCCATTGACAGTGTGGTTTCAAATTTTATGAGGATAAGCCATTGAGACACAAACCTTGCATTTCTGCATGATTGTCTAGCTTCCGCTTAAAAATCTCCAGAGATGGCGCTGTAGTCACGGCCGCCGGTAAAGCGTTCCAGAGACGGCAAACACGAAGCGAAAAGAAATGTGATCGCACTCGAGTCTTTGGTCTCTGGTGTGCTATCCTTAGCGGGTTACCTCGTGGAAGCCTATAATCGCTTAATGGCAGGATGCTTTTATTTGGGTGGGCCTGGTCATTTAGGATCTTGTAGACGGTGATGAGGTCTCCCCTGTGCCTACGGTAACTAAGTGTGAAAAGACCTAATTTCTTTAGTCTTTCCTCATATGATTTGTTGCGGAGGCCGATCACCCATTTTGTCGCTCGTCTCTGGACACTTTCTAGAATGTTAGCATCCCTTTTGAGTAGCGGAGGTGCAATGATATTATGCACCTCAAGGTGTGGCCTCACATATGCCTTGTATAGCCTTAAGAACAGTTCGGGAGTGAGAGCTCCCAGCTGCCTGTGCATAAAGTGTAATGTTGCGTAGGCTTTGGCGACGTCCCTCGAGTAATTTCCACTGGTGTCTAGCTTTTCTGTTAGAATAAGACCTAGATCACGCTCTGATGGAACACAACTCAAGTTCTGGCCACCAAGGGTGTAATTTACACTCTGTGACCTGCCGGAATGAAGCTGCACTACTTTGCACTTCTTTAGATTGAAAGGCATTCCGTTAGCCAAAGCCCAATTTCCCAGAGTTTGCAGGTCAGCCTGCAATCTATCTGAGTCTTCCGATGAGTTTATTGCTCTCCAAATCTTTACGTCGTCAGCGTAAAGAAGCGCAGAGCAGTTTAGTTGGGGGGGCAGGTCATTGATAAAAATCAAAAACATCAACGGCCCTAGGATAGAACCCTGAGGAACCCCTGATGCCGAGGTGTGCCAGGATGATCGGATGCGGTTGACTTTGGTGCAGAATTCTCTCTCGCCTAAGTAATCTGTCAGCCATGCGAGAAGTGCTCCAGAAACTCCCGCCTTGCCTATTTTGTGAAGGAGCAGACCATGGTGAACTGTGTCGAATGCTTTCGCAAAGTCGAGAAAGATCACGTGGGCTGGTACCTTTTTGTCCCAGGATAGTGTCCAATCGTTCCAGGCTAGTAGAAGATTCGTCACGCAGGATCTTCCCCTCCTGAAACCGTGCTGTGCTTCGTGAAGAAGGTTAGTCCCATCGAAGTATTTTCTCATGTGGTCGTCAATGAGACTTTCCAATATCTTCGATACCACTGGAAGTAGAGCAACTGGTCTGTAACTGGTCACATTCTGCCGGTCACCACCCTTGAAGATAGGGGATAGGATTGCACGTTTCCATTCACATGGAAGTTTCCCTACATCAAGGGAGTGTTGGAACAGATCACTTAGGGGTTGACAGAGACTTTCTGAACACTGCTTCAGGACAGATGGTCTGATGCCATCACAACCTGGAGACTTTCCCGAAGCCAACCTTCCCAATTTTGCAAGTACCATAGCCGGGGTAATTTGAAATGTCCCAGCAGGTTTTCGTGTGTTGGTTTTGCGATGTAATCTGGATGTTCTGTAGGGGTAATATCCTCGTTACTATTTAGTTGCCTGTGAAAGGCTAGGCTGAATGTCTCTGCCATTTCAAGACTAGTAAGAGATTTCCCATCAGAACCCACTAGATTGCATGCTCCCTGGTTGGTCGGTTTTCTTTCGGCCATAAACCTGTATAGGCTTTTGGGGTTCACGAGAAGCTTATTGGCGAGGTCTCCCTGAAATGTCCTTCTATCGCTCCGGACTCGTATGTTACATCGATTCCTGAGTTCAAGGTACACTTCATATTCGGGTTGACTCTTCGATCGTCGCCACGCGAACCAGGCTTTTCGCTTTGCCTGCAGAAGGCGTTGTGTCCCCTTTTCAGCCATGATCGTTGCTTCCTAGCTTTTGGTGAGACTAAAGGAACAGTGTCTGAGACCGCCTGGTGAATGATCTCCTTTACCACTCTCCAGTGTTCTTCTACTGTTAGCTCTGTCCATTTTTTAGGCCAGTTTGCTTCAGACAGAAGTCTTCGCATTTTGGTGTAGTTGGCTTTGTTATAACACAGATAGGGCTGTGTATTGTCCCACTGTAAGCGCTCGCGGAGGACTATGTCGAATACTATGACCGCGTGGTCACTACTACCTATGGGAGTCGTGATCTGAACGTTTTCCACTAGTAGCTGGTCACTAGTGAGCACGTAATCCAGTCTAGAAGACTTCCCATCAGGGCCCCATCTAGTATCCATCTTGACATTTTCAGTGAATCCAGCCTTCCTGATGGTATGCAGCAGATTTCGATCAAATCTATCATGGGCTTTTCCCGACACCAAGTTAAGAGATGGGGCATTGAAGTCACCAGCTATGACAATTTGATCATAACCCATGTCTTGAGTTGCTGAGATTGTATTTAGCAGTACCTGGTTGTGGTCTGCTCCACATGAAGGTGATCGATAAATGCTGCCCACTAGATATTTGCAGTACCCAACGGTGAAGTGGCACCATATGGAGTCAGGGAGCTCTGTGAGGGGAGGGTCCATCGCGTGAACACATCTGAGCTGTTTGTCGACGTATATGGCGACTCCACCTCCTTCTTTCAGGTCCCTATCTCGCCTGACTAGGACCATATCATTTATACTGACTTCGCTGTCTGCCACCGTAGGGGTTAGCCAGGTTTCCGTCAGTATTATGATTTTGGAGTTTAGTTGTGATTGTAGGTGTCTAAGTTCAGCTATTTTGCCTCTTAGCCCTCTCACATTACTATACAGGCAACTGGTAGTCAGTCTCACCACTTCCCCGTATTGGGGGGTAGTTGACTTGATATTGGCTATCGGTTGAGGAGTTATCCTACGAACTAGTTGGCCGATTCCCCAGGAACCGGCCTGTTGGCGTTTTTTTCTTCTAGTTCAGTTGGAGCACTCGGATGACACTGGCTATCATCGTCCGTGCTGCACCGCTGTAGTGTGACTAGGGGTTGAGGATTTTCTTTTACTACGCTTTGTTCTCTCCTTTGAGTGCGAGGCCGGCTCTCGCAGCAGCGAATGTGTTTGCTGACCTTGTCCTTGGTCTCGTACCATCTATGGAGAGCGGTAGTCAACTGGTCTTGGGAGCTGAACTTGACAGCTAACAGACGTGGCGAGTTAATTGACATAAGATGAGTGGGTCGAGGCAGTCTATAAATAGAGACAGCCCCTGAACTTCCCAGGGCCATCTGGGATGCTAACCATCTCCATTGTTGTACATCATGACAATGCTTTTCGCAGGCGTTCCCAGTTACCAGTTCGGGAATGCCATGCACAACCATGGAGGCAGAAGGAATGAGCTCTGGCGACTCCCTCGCCATTTGTCTTTCCTTCCACGGCCTGTCTGGCTTAACACGTATGTTACAGGCCCTCCCTATAGAAAGGACTTGAGAAGCCAGTAACACTTTTTCAACATCCTCGGTAGAGCCCAATGTTACCCTCAGTGGGGATGGTTTGCCTTCAGGTGCAGCAGTGCCCCTATACAATCTGCATAGATTTACTGGTTGGATGTCCAAACCCAGTGTGCTACTTAAGATGGACCACTGTTCCTGATCAAATAGGGCCCTATCTTTCAGCAGACTACTGCTACAGTCTGGTACATTAAAGAGGATTACACAATTTGATCTGCTAACCGTGGGCTTGGGCTCGGTCCTCGCACGTTTGTGATCACCTTTAAGACCGTTTTGGTTTGACTGGTGCGACTGGGTATTTTTATGTGTCTCAGTGCTATAGCCAGCATTACTGATAGACGGTTGGGGTCTTTTTCCAACGACGGAAACCCGTGGTTCTCCAGCCTCTGTGTCTGGAGCGGTTATGGCAAGAGTTACAAGTTTAACCGGTGAGGATTTTGGTATCCCCGGTTTACGCGCGTTTGTACTAACTTCCGGATTGGTGGGGGTCGAGCTTTTCACCTTTTTCCCCGCTACTTCTGTGCCATCTTTAGTTTTCAAAGGACTACGCGAGGCTACATCAGGACGGCAACTCGGGCATATGTACCAGAACCATTGGCATGGGTTTTTACGCATAAAGTCATAATATGCTTTTGGTACCCCACTGTCGCATCTGCAATGCACCCATCGGTTGCAAAAGTTACATTCGAAAGCAGAGTCTGCTTGTTCGACAACAGAAGCACAGACCTTGCAGTCGTCTGTCTTCTTGGGGAGCGTTCTTGTCGTCTTGCGACGTCGTGAACGTTTCTTTTTGGCCTTCCTATTTGTTTCATGGTCTACCATGGGGATGGGTGTTATGAAGTTCTCACTTAGTGCAATTTTCCCACTCGGATCTGTTAACCTAGTCGTGTTAACAGGGGTGGAGCCACATCCACTTGGCTGACTTTGCACAGCTTCACTGTAGGACTGTGGCGACATGGGTAATCTGTACGAGCTGGGAATATTAGCCCTGGTCTTCAGGACCGGTATGCGTGAGTCCATCACCTTCTCCTGTTTGCCTAGTTTGGCTGAAGCCCTGGTAACTACAGAGTATGATGTCCCATTACTTATTTTAGGTTGAGAATCTATTGTCATTTTACTCCTAAATTAATACTGGTGATTAAATAATAAGAGACTGTTATTTTGTCCAATAGACTTACAGCAAAAGACAATAGAGAGCACAGAAAAGAAGGATAAAGTATTTAAGTAAAAGCTTTAGACTTTACCTGTAACTTTCGGGTTATTCGGTTTCACAGCAATCACGTAACAGACCCACAAGTCCTGTATATTTGAAAGAGTGAGGAGGGTGTTGCTACAGAAGTAGCACCTGAAGCTTTGGCAGTAGTTCGAGACAGCGGGAAGTACCACACACAGGCTCGGTGAGGAAGAAATGGTTGAATAAAATTCGCCGGATAGGAAGATCAGGTTTCCCAAACGAATAATTCACAAAATTGGATATTTCCGGTTAGAGAGGAAAAGCACGTCTTATTCAAGGAGCGCGCGCTATTCAGTCATCGTCTCATCGGTCGCTGTTCAGAAAGAAG